AAGCAAAGGATGAAAATGGGCCCCTTTAGAGATGTCTTTGGAAGCACAACCGAAAAACAAGAGAAGGCGCTTCTGCTTATCCACATTTCGTTCTACTCAGCTATTTCATTTCAGGATCTTTCATTTCAGGATGAAAGGCAGGGAAGTAATTTTGTTACAAACTTTGATAAAGAGCACTGTGATCTCCCTGCCTCACGCCCTACCAAGCTGTGGATGTTAGTGTGTACAATTAACCACTACCCTTCTTTTCCTTACCAGCAAGGAATCTTTGGCTTTTTACTTTACTTAACTTTTATTCCTAGTATAGCTCATGCAAACAGTACTTGGCATACTCTGAAGTTCAGCTTCTGGTGTGTCTCAGTCACAGTCCCAGGCAAATTAAAAAGCAGGAAGCAAGTTTTAACCCTCCTGAAATTTGCTAGTTTTAAACTAGCATGTTTGTCCTGCAATATCAGAGTTAGTGTTTGCAGTAAACGAGGAACGTGCAAAGGTATTTCTTTAATTTTCCATGGATATCACATTACTTTGTGAAATCAAATTTTAAGTTTAACCTGTTCATGAACAAGACTTCTTTAAAAAGTTTTGTTGGCCTGCCAAGAGGGGTCTCAAGAATATTAAAATAAGAAAAAAGATATTCATTCTGAAGGGAGAATGAAAGAGAAGGTTGGAAAGCCGTAAGAACTTTAGAAAGAGGAAAATCACACATGGGTGCCACAGACTCTGGGAAAACTCCAGAACATGGAAAGTAGCTAGTAGTTCCTTAAGTTTTCTCTCTCCAGAACTGTATTAGTAACCTGCCTCTTTATAGCACATGGGTCAGTCCTCTGTGACTGTCCCTAAACTGTGTGACACTGGTGCAGAGGAAGCATAAGCAAAGCATGCAGCAGTCAGGGGAAGTGGGGACAGCATGGGGAAAGTTCAGTCAACTCCCCAGGCTGGCCTCTGCAGCTACCTTTGCTTGTAAAACAGCATGTCCCTTCCCATTGTCCCACTCCAGCCCCAGAGAAGCGGTTCCTTACTCCCATACAGTTTCCCAAAGTACTCCATGTTTCCACAGCCCTTTTCTTGCAGGGGCCCCAGTCTCCATTCCCCTCCCCTGCAGGACACTGTCCCACCTTCTCATTCGCCTTCCCCCATGGCACAGTCTCTCCCTTCCTTCCTACCCCTGAGGCTGCAGCTTTCTTAACTGTAAAAAGCTGAAGGGGACTGTGGTGAGGGCTGAAGTTTCGCTCCCGGGGATCTGACAGGAAGCTTACACGCGCTCTTGCCCAATCCTGCCCTTCCTGACAGATCGGCTGCAGCCAATCTGCCAACTCACTAACTGCCAGCTGCTGTGCCCCCAAACCAGCCCTTGGCACACGCCTTGTTGGGACATTTCAAGGTGGTGCAAAACTCACCCAAACAGCCCCACTGGGCCAAACCCAGCACGGGGTCAGAGGCTCATGAGCACCCACTGCCCACTTCAGCGTCTGAGGTCCCCAGAGGATGGCACCGGGCTCAGAACATCCTTTTCTGCTGAAGGAGAAGAGCAGCACAAAAGGAGCTCACTTTCTAGGACTATCATCTGTCCCATTTAATGAAAGCTGCATAAGATATGCTGCTGGGTTTGGGGGATGTTAGTTGGGTTTTTTTAATGTAGGGATTGGGTTCTTATTCCCTGCCCTTCAGACTGACCTGTTTCACATTATTAAATAAGAAGATGCAATAATTTATGCCAACTGGTCATGTTTCCTAGCAAACCAGACCACAACTGAGAATTTACAGAGCTGAGGTATATTCTACACTGCTTCTGGCAAAACCTCTATATAAGGGCAAGAAAATTTAACACAAAAAATGGCTTGCTAGCTTTGCAGACAAGAAATTCCCCCTTAATGGGGAATTTTTAGATTGCCATTTGGGAAAAGAGAATATGGGCTGATATGATATATCCTTATCTTAGTGTTAAGGCTACTCCTCTCCTCATGGGGGAAGTTTAAGAGAAAAAGCTGACGGACCAGTACAATCCTATCTCCAAATTTGGACACAGTCCCATAGCGTTTCAGTGCTGTCAGGAGGTACTGTGACTGAGAAAGGAAGAGGACAACAGACCCAAAGCCAGCCATGATAGGACAGAACTGTTCATCTCTTTCTTATTCAGCTCCAGATGGTCTGTGTTAGGAAAAAGTTGTTCTGAAAAGTAGTTTCACTCTGGGGATAGACAACCAGGATCAGTAACTCATTAGGAAGAAAGCAAGCTTTGGGGAAATATGGGGAAGAGGGGCAGTGTTACTTAATAGGATATAAGATATGAGAAAGTTCTGACATTCATAATGTTACTCATTCTTCCCTCTGGTAAAGGGGCATCGTTGTCCATGTGTAAGTGTTGACTGTTATCTGAAAGTGTTCTTAATAGGATGGCATTTATTATAAATGCCAAAAACTAAGTCACTCAGCATTAAACCAAACATTTTCCCATACTTCTTTCTTTCCCCTTTTCTTTGTGCCTCTCTTCATTACATTTCCTTTTTTTATCTCGTTGCCCTACTCTGTATCACTGCTTTCTCCCTCTACTATTCTCTTCTCCAAAAGGTGTCCTATTTGCCCCGGATGTACTTCTCTCCACCTCAGCCCAGCTCTGATGAGGAGGACATAGAGAGGCAGAGCCCCCCCTTGGAGGTTTCAGATGGGGAGAATGATGGTGTGGACCCTGGGCCTGGAATTATGCATGGAGAAACAGGTCAGTGCAAACAAAAGGGTTTTGTCAAGCTATGATCTGAGCAGGTGTTATATTACCATAAGGATAATGAATAAAACTGTAGAACTGCTGTGCTAGTATTTTATGCCACTGGCAAAGCTTTTCTTTCTCTAACTCATTGCACTCTTCCATCCTCTGAATCTCACAACCATAACTATCTCAAACCTCATTTCTTTATGTACTACCCTGCCTCCTTGATCTTTGTCTATTCAGGCTTCCTGAATGGAAATGGCTTTTGCCATTTCTACTCCAATTTCTATTAACAGCCAGGAAAACCAAGACAAGAAGGTTAAGGAAGAACCAATTAAAAAAAAAAAAATTTAGCTCTCTTTGCTCAGTATCTGAGAGTCACATTCTGTATAACCTGCCAAAATTAGGTTTAAGTTAGTTTTGGATAAGCAATGTTTTTCAATTAGCTTCAAAATAGCAAATTCATTTCAGACTTCTAGCCATTTGAATTACTTAATTCTTGCTTTTTCTTCTTGGTATATCAACCTACATTTTGTCCTCACACTTTTACATTGTTTACTGTTATAAATGCTGCAAGCTGAAGAAGTTATGCATCTTCCAAGGTAGCTGAAATACTTAGATACTTTCTGCTGTTTTTCCAGGAACTACACATAAATACTAATGCTCCACTGGCTTTCTTCTTTGACTCACACAGGCAGCAAGAAAAAGATCCGTCTGTATCAGTTCCTTCTGGACCTTCTTCGCAGTGGGGACATGAAGGACAGCATTTGGTGGGTGGACAAAGAGAAAGGTACTTTCCAGTTCTCTTCCAAACACAAAGAAGCATTGGCACATCGCTGGGGCATCCAGAAAGGCAACCGCAAGAAAATGACCTACCAGAAGATGGCACGGGCTTTGAGAAACTATGGCAAGACAGGGGAAGTCAAGAAAGTTAAGAAGAAGCTGACCTACCAGTTTAGTGGAGAGGTGATGGGAAGGGGGGCCACTGATAGGAAGCATTATCCTCACTGAGGCCATGGGACCCTAAGCAAGAAGAATAATGAGAGCTCCTGGCTGGATACCAGCAGAGGAGATGGACGCATCTTTCTCTTTGCTTCCTGTGCCCCCTTCTCTGCCTTTAAACAGCCTTTATCATCAGATGTTTCTGGTACGAATTCCCTTCTTCAGCATCTGAGAATCCTAATCATGACAGAATTCTTTGCTTCCATCCACCAAGTTGGACAGAGTTGGGAAATCTAAACAATGTACAAATATATTGTTGTCAGGAAAGATTTTTTTTTCTAAATTTTTTCGTTTTGATTGTATTGTAACTAAAGAATACAGCCAATGATGTTTTGCCTCCAGAGGTGGTGCTGTGTCACCCACAGTGACACCGTGTTAGCTTCCAGCTTTTAAACTAGCATTAATACAGGCTCTGCCGCAGCTCTCAGAGCTAGAGAGAAGTTTGCAGATCTTGGAATGATACTCGTTCTTTTACATAGTAATAACATGTACATATTTAATAAGATTAGATATAATGAAGTATTGATGTTTGCATAATAAATGATTAGCTCACAAACAAATGTCACACATTCAGTTATGCAGCTCTTGTGCAGTGTCTGAACAAAAGGTGCACTGGGTTGTAGGGCCTTATCCATCTGTAGCTACTTTTTAATTTGCCTGGAAACATCATCAATGGTGTCAAACTCAGTAACAAAGGTTAAAAGGTAAAATACGTTACTGGGAAACAGACTACAGTACTGAAGGAAACTTAAAAATACATGTATGTACATATTTCTCACTATTTTTTCCTGTGCAAAAATCATGCCAGTTGAACATTTTCTGGTCATGTATACCAAGAATTGCATTTATATCCCCATCCCATTTAGAATGTATCAATTAACCATGTTCTTCTGTGGTTTTACTTATTTTCCTGCTCCTGTTCATCTTCCTTTCCCCCACAGTGATACCTTGATTCTCACTTATGAATCTTTCTTGGAAATAAGTTGTGTTTAATCATGTTTCTGCAGAATTCCAGTACAAAAGAGTTTCAAGATTTTAACTGTGGATTTTAAGCCCTACTGTAAAAACAATTAATAGTAACTAATAACAACTGCACTGTATAGATAACACTCAAAATGCAAAATAAATGATAATTCAACACCTGAAACATCATGGTAAATTTACCCCATACATCTAAGCACAGAAATTAAATTCAAGCAACAGTAAGAAAATTAGCATTTTAAGTTTTAACATTATTTAACATATCTCAACTGTTTCAAGCACTCAAAGATCAGGACTTTCCCAAAATAGATGAAGTGAAATGAGGCAGATCAAGAATGAAGAGAAGGGGTTTTTTTAAACTATATTGAAATGCAGTACAACATGCCAAATATCACTAAATAACCTGAAATTTTTCAGAGCTTGCTCCTCACTGAAATCAGAAATAGTTGAAAGTGATGAGCTTCTTACAGATCTGAGTTCTCAAAACTAAATCTAAACACAGTCAGTGTTACCTGCATGAGCAATCTCACTATGGAAGTGAAAAGCCTGGTAACATCACAGCCTACAGTGCCTTTTTGGAGCCAAACAAGAAAGAAGATCCTAGTTAAAAAACATCCCAAAGTACTACTTCCCAATTCTTATTCCCAGTTCATGAACATGATAAATACATCACTCAGTGCCAAAAGTTAGCAGAGAGTTATCGTTCATGCTTCTAAAAATCTTGTAATCCAACTTTTAGTTATTATGCTTTGAGGATCATGTCAATTTGAGTATCATTTTTCATTCACTTAGGGTTAGGGTAAGTCAAATTACGAAGACATTTTGTTTCTAAAATTGTACTCAAAGGATTTACTTCCTATAGGAAATACTGTAATACTAAATTAAACTCAGATAACTCCATCTGCATCCATATTGAAGTTTCAGGATGGAAGCTGTTGCTCTCAGAAGACTAGAACACTCAACACTGGCACAATTAAGGTTCCTTCTTGCTGAGCTAGAAACTCAGGACTTTTCTGCTTGGTACTGATGGGGACCCTCCACTGCTGGCCTGGAATTAAAAGGAGATTAAAGACATTTGCACTCATCAGACTTGCAGATTTGATATTCAAGAAAACTAGAGTAATAATTCCTCTCTTCATAAAAATATCTTTATTACAAACACAGCTTCAAAAGCAGAACTGATCCTTCTCTGACACGGTAATTTGGAGGAGAAGGATCATTTCCTCTTGCAGGAAAACTATGATAACTGAAAAGAGCCAACTGGTGAGTTGATTGTGGAGATGCTTAGGATATCACAAAAGCCATTTCAAGCTTACTAAAAAGCTTTCTAAGATCGATGAGACCTATTTTTCCATTTCCCTAGCAAGTCTTGCATAAAATCCAATTAGATGCTGAAGAAATAATACAAAATTAAAATAAGCATTCAAACAAACAACAAGAACCCATAAATGAGCTATTTGAGCACTGTGCCTTACTATAAAATGTTAATTTATACATATACTTGAATTAAATAATTTGCATTTAACACTGGTTTTGACCACAGGAAACATAGAAATCAAAGATTCTGAGAAAATTATTTGGGGGGGATAATATTATTAATAAATAAAATATTTTTTAAAGTAATACTGAATATACTTTAATAAGAAGGCTTAAAATTTTATCTCCAAAGCTGAAAACTTTTTCTCTTCCTCTTGTTAATGCTTTGAAATACCGCTTCTAAAAATATTTACTCCCCATCTGTTTCTGGTTAGGTTTTTCATCTGTGGCATAAAGAGTGAATAATCATGTGTTGCAGCTGTGAAGGAGACAAAATGATGATGCTTCTCTGCCAGAGTACTGTTTGTCTGCCACACAATCCAACTGCTTGGGACACTAGGCAGTCCAAGCAAGCTGAATTATTGCCATTCAGCTGCACATGCAAGCAGAAGCTCTCTGGATGTTTTAGACAAAAATGCCAAAATTAATATGACTAAATCACAGGTTCTGCAAAATTACAGAGGAGCAAGCATTCCATTTTCTCTGAAGGTGGCCAAGTACTAGACAGGCAGATGTGATCGAAAAAGGTCGGGGGGTTATTATTTGGAGAGATGACCCATGATTATGACAAGTTCATTGGAACATTTTGCAGCCCACTGCTGTTAGAGATCATCAATCCTCTTTCAAAGCAATTGTTCATACTACAGCTGGATATTCAACTTATATTTGGTCCTTTGCAACCTGCTTTAAAAATCAGCTTTATTAGCTGCTGAGTGGTTCCTGATCAATTCCTGTGGAAAGATTATTCAGAAAACTATCAGTGAGCTAAATTCAAAATACTGAACTGCACCTAAAATATATTAGACTCCCTCTAGCTGTACATCAGAGGCATCAAAGTTAGAAAAATTGCACTGGCTATACTAATAATCTGCTTAAAATAATTTACAATGGCAGCATGTATTTTTAAATTCTAGTGAGTCAAAGAGAGCTTTAGACATTTCTAGATGTAAGAGGCTACTCACCCGCACCAGACAGAACTGCAGCTAAAGGTGCTATTATTTATTTTTTGCCTGAAAGCCCACATTTATTGAATCCTCCAAACTTCCTGAGAAATGCATATACACACATCCCAATATATCTGCTGGAGGTTTTTGTCTCCTCCATGAAATTTTATCTCTATACCCTCTATATTTCAAGACTCATACACTGACAGAGGCTTACAATCCGTGTTTGTCTTCACCTGTGATTACAACAGGGCTTAGGTTCTATACATTGCCAGGTTTCTTTTCCTCAGTAAGCCTTTTCCCCTAGTTTATTTGTCTATTTGCATCACTTAATCTCTTTGCCTTCCATTTCTTTTTATTTTTTCCTCCCTCATTCAAATGTCCACATGACAAAATTCACTTCATTATCATTGAGCTTAATTCAGACTATACTGCCAGCTTCATAACTAGTACATATATCACATGACAGTTCAATTCAGTGTATTTATACTGTTGTTCAAAATTTTCCTTGTACCCTAGCTGCACATTGTAAATTCATAGCAAGGACTTTATTACTGATGACAACACAATGAAAATTTTTGCTTTGAGAATGCCCAGAACAGTATGCTCTCAATGGAAATCCCACACTTGTGTATTTAAAATGTATGTATTATGGATAGAAAATATTATTATATGACACAGACTGTGGTACCAATTCCAAGATTTTGCATTTATTTCTAATTTATTTTGTGTGTTACTTTGCAATCTCACCACCTTTTCTTTTTCTAAGAAACACTCAAATCAGATTTACATAGTTTTGCATACCCATATACTTAAAACACTAAACATGTAGTTCCTGTAATAAAAATGCTACTGTAATGAACCCACTAATATATTACAGTCAAGTAGATTAAGAGCTTGGTCTTTAAAGCAACTGTGACAGTAGCTAGAACTTCACCAAGTTTCACCTTTCTTCTCTTACAAATTTGCACATTGCAATTCAGTTGGCTCAGTTGAGCCTGTGCAATTACAAAGGTCTGTATAGAAACCAAATAATCAGAGTCCTATTCCAAGAGCTGGGGAATGTGAACTTTTTCTAGAGAGCATGAAAACAGCAGTAGGCTGAGTTACTGCTTCTCATTTCCTCACTCATAACTCACCCGTGTCTGCCTTAGCTGAGCACCTCACATCAGCACACAGGATTACAGAGGAACCTGGGTTGGAAGGGATGTTTGGAGGTCACCCCATCCAACCCCCTACTCCAAGCATACCTATTAGATCAGGGTTTTCAGGGCAACTTTCTTTCCATTCTGTGTTTCTTTCCATTCTCTCCACTCATCCAGCCACATCCTCCTTCATGCCTTTGGTTCCCCACAGTGTTACTTTTTGCTACTGGGGAGCCAAAGCAGTTCGTGAGAATGAGCAGAGCAGTCTATGGACAGGAGGGGAATGAGGATGTGGTGGAGCAGATAAGGGTTAGCAGGAGGTGGAGGAGGAGAAAGAAGGGTGGGAGGAGGTACTGGGGAGACCAAGGTTATGCAAAGGATTGGGGAAGCGGCTTTGTGGTAGGAAGGAATGCAGTTTCTGTGCCTTAAGGGTTCCCTCTGAGCTTCTGTTTTAACTCCCCAGCAGCAGAGCAGCAGTGCTTTAGGTAAAAGAAGCCCTTTGACCACTGGTACCTTTGTGCAGAATGCTTCGATTCCTCTGCCTTATGCAAAGTGAAGAATGTTTGGGTGCTGAGCTGGGCATTTGCGTATACAAATCAGTTTGGGTTCTTTTAGATTTACCTAAGTTTCTGAGTTTTGGGTGTCTGCTTTCAGAAACATAATTTTAGATTTCTTCTCTAGATATTCCCTATTCCCTTTTTTCCCGCTCACCCACACTGTGCTTTCCTATCTCTGCCAGCCTGAGCTATCAATTCCCAGCTCTTTGTTCAGCTTTTCTCCATGCTTAGATTCAGCCAGTAGATGCCTCCATATTTAGTAGATTCCAATTGCTTTATTCTCAATGTCCTTTTTCAACTTTGGCCCAGGTAGTTCATTGCTTCCTCTAAAGTCAACTTTTCTCACATATGCATCCAGTCAGCTTCTCTTTATGTGAATGGTTCTCAGTTCCAAATTATTTGTTCAGCCATTTATAGTTTTCCATCCCACATCCTCTTATGGTTTCAGTCTTGTCACCAGTTCTCTTCCCTCCGCCCCATTTCTATCCCAGCTCCCCATCTAATACTCCTGTCCTTTGAGAATCTATTTCAAATCCCTCCCATATTACCTAGAAAAACCAATTTTCTCCCCCAATCCATCTTTCAATCCCACATTTTTATTTCCTCCTCCCTCTCAAATTGGTGTGATCCCTTCCCTCTCTGAAGTTCCAACTATTTGCCCCCCAACCTTTATTTTGATGTGCCTGAGGGAGATAATATCTGGAGCACAGGACACAAAGCCTGCTTGCTTTTGGTTCAAGTGTCTGGATTAAGTTCAAGTCCCACATTAGCCCTGACATAAAGGCATAGAAAACTCTGATGACCCCTGAACTGGACCCCACTGACGAAAAAAATAACTTCTTCAGAGAATGGAATGTAGAAAGTTCTCATGCAGATTGCATTTTTTCCCCCATAGTCTAGAATATGCAGCGACTCAAGCTGTCTGTCATGAAGCCAGTTAAAAGAATATCCCTGAAATGAAAGCAAGTTGCTGTCAAATATACTGAAAGAAGTCAAATATAGAGTACAAAGAGTAGGGATACAAAATGGTTGTGCAGAGGAAAGCTCAAATAAGCAGGACCAGCATTACCCAATACTCCTAAATCCCTGTAAACTCAAGTTCTGTCAGTAAGGTCAAATGGCTTTGCTCTGTACAAACCCACACTCTGTGATTCAAAAACTCAAAGGAAACAGTGAGGATTAGGTTGGATATTGGGAACAGATTCTTCACCCAGAGGGTGGGTGGGCACTAGAACAGAGCTCCTAGGAAAGTCACAGCAGGAGCCTACCAAAGTTCAAGGAGCATCTGGACAACGCCCTCAGGCACCTGGTGTGAATACTGGGGCTGTCCTGAGCAAAGTCAGGAGTGGGATTTGATGATCCTTGTGGATCCCTTCCAGCTCAGGATATTCTGTGATTCTATGAGCACTTCAGTGGATGAGTCCTGCTGGGCCTGTGCTCTGCACTGAGCCACCTCAGCTCTCCCACCAGCGCTGTCCCACCATTGGCAACAGTGAATCTGCAGCCACTGAGGCAATTTCACTGCCTTGTCCTCAGAAACTGCCGAGCCACTGAGGAGGTGGTAAATTCGTGACACAAAGAGGCAGAGAAACAAATAAACAGAAATAGAGACAAGAAATTAAATGGCATAACAGAAACTACCAGGAAAAGAAGCCTTAAATAGAAAAGTAATATATAGACTTTCTGCCTGGATAGCTACATTTGGGCAGAGTCGCAGGCACCTAAATACATAGCCTTTTAATAAGAAGTTAGGTAGTCTTTTTAGGAGGTGATGTTAACTTTGGCTATAGATGATAAATCCTTGGGTTTCTCTGTAGTTATCCAAAATTGCACAGCCTGTCACCACAGGCCACCAATTTCTGTCATTTTTGAACTTGATTTTGAATTATGTGGTGAAAGACACTGTATGAAGCACAGAGCAATAGTTTCAGTAATTCTTCTGACAAGGAAGAATTTTCCCTCTCACTCACTTTTTAAGCACAGGCCCTGAGATATTTATTACATGTTGCTTCACTGTTCTTGTACATTAGTTTCATCTGAATACAGGATGAAACATCACACACTTGCTAAACAATTATCTAGTGTTGCAGTACACTAAAAAGTAGTTATCACAATCCACTACACATCTGTTTTGGGTCAGTGTAACCATTGAAATTATATGTTTTATTTGCATATCAGTTTTGTTATTAAAAGTAGTAATATCATATCATATCACGTAATATTACATAATGTAATATAATATAGAAAATGCTAGAAAAAAGTTTTCTATTGCAACAATGCTGCCACCTGGTAACCTAATGTGTAATAGCAGACAAAACATTAATTTTTCCCAGTCTTGAACATAGCAATATAATTGAAATATTACTTTAAATAACATAAAAAATCACAAAATCTGCAAAGAGTTTCTATTGGATTGGGATCATTTCCCTGCATCAGATTAAATCCTCATAGCTGTGTTTCATTGTGGGGAAGAAGTGAGACACAAGACCTTTGAAAGGTTTCAATTGAAAGCAAATAACCCAGATTTCCTGACTCCCAGTGAAATACCTCGGGCATAAGACAGTAGCCAAATACATATCATGGTAACTGGTGCTCCACTAGAAACACAGGCAATGGAAAATAAACACAGGTGACATCCTGCCCATCTTCCTCACTCATCCATAAAAAAATTGCTTCAAGGGAAGGGGAGGAAGTATTTGGCCTCAAATCAGAAGAGATATCAGCAGTGGTTCTTGCACGTTCACATTTGTCCTATCAGCCTACTGAGAGAGTCAGATGTGAAAGACAGACACAGAGTACAGTGACTGATGAGCGGCTTGCACACTGGTCTATTCTGAACTTCATGCCAAAAGATGACATAATTTTAAAATTAGTTTTCCACAGGATAGTAAAGCTGGCGGGGGGGGAAATGAAAAGCACACTTTTTTTTTAATAAATTATTTTGTCAATACTAGTGGTGGCTAAAATATGCTCAGTGTTCGGCCTCCAGAATTTTTCTAGCAAAGCTTAAAACTCAAAATTGATAAACCATCATGACAATAAAAGAATGATTGTCCACAGTTACTATTTTGCCATATGCTAAATATATTAATAAGTAAAAAGCAAAGATTGGAGCATGAAATGGCCATACAAGAATAATTTTCTAGTGAGATTTTCCCCCGGATCTTTTCTATATGATTAAGCAAAACTGAAACTTCTAGTGGTATAAAACAGAACCTTGGAACAATTTTAAAAATTATATTTAAAAGAAGAAAAAAAAAACCCTTGCTAGTTATCAAGAAACGTATGCTGTGGATCAAGTGGGTGGATAGGGAGGGAGGACTAAAACTGTATAAGTAGTGTCATGCTTTCTACTTGCAACTGCAAATGTCAGTATTGTGTAAGTGTCTCTGCAAAAGAAAGTTCTTTCCCTAAAGTTCACAGTTAGTTCTACAAATACAATCTTCGTATGAAGAGCTAAAAAAAGAAACAACAAAAACAGTATGTGAGGGGCTGTTCAGCTCTGACTCAATTACAATAAAAACAAAAACTGAAATAAGTCATAAGAACGTATGCAAATGCACACTTAGACTAAGCAGGTACCAGCACACAGGAGATGTAACCATCAGATCTAGTTTGCTGCATGTGCTATAAACGTGGCAGTGCTGGAGCAATACATGCCTGGAGCTAGAAAATGCACTGCACGCATGTGCAGCATCACACTGTGCTCTGGTTTATAGCAACAGATCCGTGGTAGCCACTCTTGGGTGGCCTGAGCTCCCTGGCTCCTGGAACTTGGCTATATTTAGCCCAGCTGATGTCGCCTGTCAAGTGTGTCCCGCTGCTGATAAGGTGCCTTAGTCGACAACAGGGGGGGATCGAGGGGAGGAGCAGGATGGGGGCTTCCATCCAGTGCTTCTTTAGGGGGTCTCAAAAGCCCTGCAGTCACATTCCTATGTGATTCATACCCTGCTTCCTAGATGCGGCTTGGAGCTCCACCAGAAACAAAGTGAAGATGCCAGAGCCTGTAAAGAAAACAGGTAAGGATCATAATTGACAGACAAAACTAAGAACAGCTTGACAGGAAAAGTGTGAGTAAATTATGCATTCTAGAGAAATGAGATGTCTCAAAGGAAAAAATAAATAGACAGGAAAAGGAAATTTTATTTTATTAAGTTATAAATGTAAGAGATATCGAGTGATCTTGAAGAGAAATCACTAACTGCTTTGATAACCTCAGCCACAGAATTTTCTCAAGAGACTTTGGATGAGGAAAAAATAGAGGTGAAATGCATTTAATTCTCAGATGCATTTAATTTCTTATTTCCTTTCCTAGTCACCTTTAGACTCGGAAAAAAAAAATAAATAAAGGCTTGTAGTGTCTCTCTTGGACACTTAAATAGTATAAACCTCTCCTGCTCTTATTTTGCGTTTGGGTTTTTTTTTCCCCTGACAATTTGTAGAAGAATTATTGCCAAAATTTGATGGAATTTATTGTGAATGAAATCTCTGTGAAAATGAAAGCAAACAGTATCTGGTCAGAGTTTATTCTTTCTATTTCTTTCAACCACTGAGAATAGAACTCTAGGGGGAAAAAGGCTGTCTCCCTGTACTGTGAAGAATACATGCAATTTCTTTTCCCTTGCCCTTCTTCATCCTTTCCCCTTGAGCCAGAAGATAACTAGCCCTTTTCAGGAAACCAAGGTCACAGAGCCACATAGAAAAATGCCAGAAAAGTATTTCAGATTTATGAAAGTTTTAATTAAAAATCTTCAAATAAGGAATCACTCAGATGCTGCCCACATAGAGGAGGCCTAGAACAGGGTACAAGGTGCAATGGATCTGGTGTTTTGAGGAGGAAGAGAGCCTGGGAAGAAAAGGAAGAGGCACTTAACTTCAGGACACCTGCAGAGGAAGACATCTCAGGAGCACTTTGCATGCACAAGTTTGGAAAAAAAAGCTGACAAAATATGAATTTATGATTGTTTGTCAACTGTAAACATATTCAATAGTCAGGCCTGGAGAAACTTGTACTAAATCTGGGATTCTCCACTTTAGAGCTGTCACTTCATTGATGCCAGTGCACACCCAGAATCGCCACTACCTGAATGTGCAATACAAGGTGCACATGTTTTAATCATGTGCAGTTTCCAGAGTTAGCCAGTGACAGCTGTAGATATTTATTAATAATGGCCTTTGTTCTTTCCAAAGGCCTGAGCAGGCATTGGTCTCCTCTCAGTTTGGCCAGTGAGACAATCTCCTATGGTCAAAATAACAAAAGAACTTGTTAAGAACCTTCATTTGACCAAAATATTTGAAATCAGCCACTCCCAGAGGCAGATCTACTACACACCCAGAGACTCCCCCATTACAGCCTGCAAAGCACCAAAGCATGGTTAACTCCAACAAGATTCTTTGTGTTCCCTCTGTATGATAACCCTAAAACAACAGCGGTGTCAGCAACCCTTCCATTGTATTACAAATATAACATAATTTCATGTTCATAAGGCTACCATTTCTAATTAAAGTAGATTTGTATATAAAAAAGAAATATATATTAGATCCTGTAATTGTATACATAAAATATAAGCTGCAAAGGTTCAGTAATCACTCCAAAATTGAGAAAATCCTACTCATATTCTGCTTTTAAATCACATAACTTTTAGGTTTTATTGAAATGTCTCATTGTTGGGAATGCAGACAAAAATAAATACAATAGAGTAGGTAAAATTTGACAGTGACACCTTGGCATTATGACTTCTGATTTCTAATTGTTTAACTGCCTTTTAATTAAAATTTTCATTCTCTGTGGGTGAGAGGCAGTGTCTCTGTTTGTGAAGATGCCCACTTTTGCTGGCTAATGGTGAAGAGAAATTCTATTCCAACTTATTTCTCCAGAGAAATCTAACAGGTGTCTAACATCACTAGTCCTACGCAGTTCTTATGAACAAACTAGACCAAACACTGGGATTATCACAGCAGGGGGAGGAAAAGCTCTTGTTACTCACTCTGACCGAGACAGAACCAGTCACATGCCCCACAACTTTTAGAGAGGATCTTCTCAGTCTCCCAGGAGACACTAATCCCTTTGGTTTTCTATTTCATGTTGTTTATACAGTTCAAGCCATTTCAAGATGGGATAATGCTGAGCACCATCTCAGGAGGGCCAAATAACCACTGGGCAATTCATACTTGGATAAATCACAATTCCTGCCTTTCACACACCATATAGTTTGATTACTGAAGAGCCCAAAGAAGTCCCTAGTCTGTATTACTGAAATTTGTGCATCTGGTGTATAGGCAAAAGAAATTTCTTCATGTCAAAGAATGACCAGAAATATTCTGCTTATATCTGCCATTTTTACAGGGCTTTTAACACATAAAAGGAAACAAATACAACAACAAAAAAAAACCCACCCAAAAAACTAAATAAACAAAACCCCAAAAAAAATCCCACCAAAAAACTAAAAATCATTGAATAAACCATTAAACTTAAAATGGTGTGGTGAAGTAGATTTTCCAACAGATATTCTTTCACTTTCAACTGCCCAACTAAAATACTTCAGGGTAAAGCACTCCCCGACTTATTTCAAGAATGCCAAAAGTATTGTCTTTGCATTCTAGAAAATCTACACCATCCACAAGAGCAACAGAATGCATAAGACCTGTAAGAGTTTAGTGTCAGAGCAAACAATCAAACTTTGAAAATCACCACTTTTTGCAGGATTCTGTTGCAGAAACTTCACGTTCTTCCCTTTGATTTAAACTCTTCATAGTTTATCTTTGGAAATTTTGATCATTTTTTTGTTCTGAAAATTCAGAAATGTTAAACAAACCCCAACCATTTCCCTAACAATATTTTTGACATTAGGAGGAAATAGTTGACTTTTTAAACACCAAATTTAGTAAATAAATGGGACTTAATGGGAAGTGTGTGTATTATTATAGCTGGAAAAGGAGAAGTCTATATTACTCACCTTCTCTGAAAATCTGTCAGCTTTTACTCACATATTTTATAGATTGGGGAGTCTAGATTTTGCAGTTCTGATTAGGAAATTTCATCAAGAATTTACAAATAACTTGTAAGTACACAGAGGCTTCCATAATAAAAAAAAAAGTAAACTGCAGAATTTTAGTTTGAATATGAGCTCATTCTTTCACATTTGCACGTATCTAGCACAACGAACTTCTTTGCACCACAGGAATGCAGAAAAAACCCCTAAATTCATACAGACATAGTTTTCTCTTTTGTAAGTTAAGATTCAAACCAAGCTGAAGACTATTATCCCCCTTTTTCAGAAAGTGTGATGGATGCAGAGAGAGAGAGGTGACTGATTAGTGAAACTATTCCTTGCCTGTTGCTCATGTTGCAGGAATTTGCAATCTCAGCTGCTGAAGTAGGCAAGGAATGATAAGATTGAGGCTTTCAATAGCTTTTGGATCATGGAATGATTAAGCTTGTAATTACAAGAAGCCACTTAGGTCCTGACTGAGGAATGTGCAGCATCTTTATATAGTTCCTCAGAAAGGAATTTACAAGCTCCATTACTGAACTTGGCTTATCCTGTTTGGCTTTTAACTCAATGGAAGAGCAAATGATATAGAAGCAAAACTAGATGCCAAGTGTAAGAAAAGATCAATTTTCAACATGAAGTCTTAACAAATTAAAGAATTCCAAAAGCTAATGCTGCTTTTGTAATATTATTAAAATATATTGACCAATACATATGTTAACACCAAATAGAGAGAATGTGCAGTAAGATAACTCAGCTGTGATTATTTTGTCCAATTTCACTCATTACAAATTTCTGCTGTAGTTTCTAGCATCTGCATTCAAGTAGATACATTAGATTCTCCTCAAGAATGTATACCTTTAACAGATTTTATTTCCAAAAGTCAGAAATATAATCTGAAAATGTAATCTAACACACATTCTCTTGTACCACTCTATGTAGTTAAAAACACTCACTCTTGTAGAAAACACATTTCTTGCTCATTTTCATTTCACATAGTTCACACTTACTTTAAAATTCCAGTATTTCAGGAATAGGTTTTCAACTGATGCTTGTGACTCTAAACCAGATTATTTAGGGAATGTTGATAGCAAATGAAACTACTTGGGTAATTTGAACTTTATTTTAATATACATCTTACCTCCATTTTTTCTGACAATAATAAAATAAGAATTGCTCTTCTAGCTTCTAATAATAATTTTTATTCCTTTTAGAGATACAACAGTACTTAGCAGCTACCTACTAACAATTTAATGCTGTACAAAGACAGCAGGAATAGAGTCTCTGCCTCAAAACACTCATAAAACAAAAGCCCAGTAAATAGCTATTTCAACAAGAGAATAAAGGAAACATTATTTGTACAATAGATAGAAACCCTGGTAGTAGCTTAGCCATTTTTGGGGGTTTGCATAGAGGGTATGAAAAAGACCTGAATCATAATAGTAAACTTGTTTGGTGATAGATGTTAGAAGGACATTGCTTGAAAGCAGGTCAGAAAGTAAAGGAGAAAGCTTAAAGGTGCTAGTATGAAGATTTAATAAATAGCAGCAGAATGAGGCAGAATACTAGTTTTATTCTTTTATTTAGGTGACTACTACAGAAAAATAGATTTAGAACTGAAATTATTTCATTCTAGTTTAATTTGGCCCAAAGCAAATGTTTTTTATTTTTCTTCATCCTCCTGACTGAAAGATCTGTTAGTAAATTTTCAAAATACTATCTGATGACAGATCTCCAAACAGAGGTTTTCATTACTGATCAATTAAGCTGTAATTTGTGTAACATATATAGTGTTATGGCTGATGTGTACACCCTCAGGTGTTTCCAGAGTTTTAGAAGATGCAAGTTCTGGCTGCTGCAGCCTTAACCACCAAAAAGTTTCTGCAAGATAACTGCAGACCACATACAGCTGTTTCCTCTTCTGCCTGGGGTAAAATTTGCTGGTTTATGTTACTCAGAAGTTATGTGAGTGTGTTTGCACTATGGAAGCTAGAAGTGATTAGGAAAGCCTGGGTTATGAGAGGTGAAGTGCTGAAAAATGGGTTAGTACAAAGTGGCCCTAGGCTCATTTTCTTATATTAGCTTCACATCCCTCTTCTCTCCCTCCATTAAAACCCCAAAGCAATTCCATCCCCACTAAACACACAGAACACCTTCAACACTCTGTCTTCATCAGCACTGGTAACTCACATGGCTTCCTGCTCTCTCTCCAGAAGTGCCATGGTGTGTTAGTACTGATGTCACCTTTCCCTCCCCCTGTGCTGGCTGGGTCAGAACATCTCAGGAATCAGAGTTAACACAGTGGGCAGCAGAGGACATCAGATGCCCCAGCCCTATGGCACCTAACTGCATGGGCACCTGGAGCTTGGATAAACACAGGAAAGCATCTGACACATCACACAAGGTGTGTCACAGTCACTGGGTTTTCCACAGCCTTATGGTGGTTGTTATATTCAAGGGTGTTTAGAGTATGGGATGGATCTATAGAACTCAGAGAGATATATGTGGGTAGAAGCCAAACACTGAAGCGAGAGATATTGTCAGATGAGGAATGCGTTTCTGATAAAAGCAGGCAGAAGTATCGTTCTCAGGACAGACCAGAAGTTTTAGATAGCGCTGTTTAGGAGTATTCCTAATGAGGAAACACCTGAATTGGATTGGTACAACTGCATGAGAAAAAAAAACCTCTGGTCAGCTTGGATTTACACATTACTTGAAGTAGCAGCAGCAAGGAAGGGGTGGGGAATAACTGAACTCTTCATTCTGTTGAGCAGCCCCTTTTTTTCCCCAAAAGGGAAAAATACCGTATTCTCTTCACATACTTGTTCAATCTCTCTTCTGCAGCAAAGTAAATTCCTGTAAATTCACCAGCCCTACATCTTTAGTTTTCCTTTGCAGAAAGAGCAGTGAAAGATGAAAGAGAATACAGCTGGATAGAGAGAAGCCACTCTGGACACTGCCCCTGACTGAATCTCAAATATTAGAAAAAGACTCAATTAAAACTCAAGTCTCCTTTACCAGTGAAAAAGTGGATACACAACAACTGTTCTTGCAGGCCTTTGCTCTCATGGGAGATTTTGGACTTTTCCAATTCTTTACTTACCAGAAATATTCACAACTGTTTTAAGCTGGAACTGAGTCTTTTGGCAGGACAAGGGGGAAGGAGGGAATACAAGGAGTCTTACTCATAAACCTCTGCACATGTGTTTAGATTTCCTAAAGCCAGAAATCTTATGTAGGGTAGAGATTTCTCACTGTGTTCTCACCAATGATTTTGTTCTTGTTGAGTCATCTACAAAGCAAATGTAAGAAATCTAATCACTTTACAGGGTGTGCAGCAGATCAGAGTTATTTCCAAGTATGCGTGTCATGAAACCCTGACACTGTAGGCTGGAACCTTTACAAATCACTTTGCTGTTAGGTAATTAATATATTTATAGATTCTTTTGTGCTTAAATAGAAGAGTGATGATAATAGCATTCAAAGACTGAAAACATGCCTCTTTGCTGCTTTGTTTGTAGAATCATAGGGAAAGGAGCCAGCTAGTCAGTAGTGGAGTGGGTACCAGAACTGACCTGTCTCCCCACTGTGCAGCAGCCTGGCCACCTTTCCAGGTGTTTTGTCCTGCATGCCCAGCCTGATGTGTACAGTAACTCTCCTGCAATTATTTAGGAAACACTGCGCCAATGCACACCCTGCCCTGCTGTGTTATTTACAGAAGTGCAGTACAGTATCAAAAGGTGTGCAGCTGGTAACAGGCAGCCCGCTGTAGGACACTACAGTACACAGTCCCATATTCTACAAAGCACTATATTTTAAAAGAACTATTGCACCAGATTTGAAAAAACCTCAATCACAAGCATGCAGGAACGTTCCACTCCCAGGGGAAATTTCCCACACTTTTAACAGGGAAGGAAAGCATGCAGAAGACTAAAATAGGAGGTAAGTCAAGGCTTTTCTAGGCTCATTGAAAACTAAAATTGTTTTCATCAGAAATATAAAAAGGTGGGGGCGGGGGGAAAGAAAAAGAAATTGAAAAAAATGTAATTTTGGTTTTTATATAATGAAGAAAAGCAGAATTCAGTCTTTACTAAATTCTAAAAGTGTTTGTAGCTGATATTTTAACTGATGCTTAAGAAGGTTCAAATCCTTGCAAAACAATGCAAGAAGCATGAATTGTGTTATGACTAAAGACTAAAGGCCATCAGATTAAATCCTTGCAGATATAACTCCACTAAGGTTAACTAAATTATGCAGTCTGAAGACATGCTACAAAAATAGAGATGTTATAAAAATAATAGATGGCATTATTAATAATATACCATTTACATGAACTAAAGCTCTTTGAACATGAATATAAGCTCTTCCTTTCAAAACATTTTCATGCCATGTTCCTTTCATTTTTATAAAGCAGAACTAAAAGTTCAAAGCTAATTATAACTGTTGTTGTGTTGTTAGGAAGAGTTCTTGTGGCAGCCAGAGGAGTAGGGCCATAGACAATTTCCCACAGAGGTGACTGATAAAATTAGATGTGATAAAATGACTAGTATTTTATAAAAATGTAGTTATACAGTGGTGAGTCAATAGAAAGATGACAAAATAATGCACAAAAAAACATGCAGTGTATGAATCAGAATGTTAATTGCTGGTATTTTTACGTATGAAAATAGCTCGTGGCAATTAGCAAATGATAACAGGTTTCATTAAGACAAAAAAAATGAGCATGACATGAAAAACTTGATTCAAAATAAAGATGAAGAAATATAAATAAATAAATAAATCAGGTTAAAGAAAATAGTAAAACAAGTTACTTTACTAAAACCTAATCTTGAGTGAGATAAAGATACTCATGGATCAAAATCATGATACATTGCTTGTTTACAGTTTCCTCTCTGCTGTGGTACTTTGATTGCATATGAATTAAAACATCATTTGGTTTACACTTGTTCAGCCTATATATTAATAACGTCATTAATTCTCCTTATAAGCTTCCTAAGGGTTTCTTGACACATGGAGAAAATATTTTAATCTACATCTTGAAAATAATTAGAAAACTAATTGTTGTAGAGTGTCATGTAGGCAAGTGCAACTTTAATGCTGAAGTAAACTTCTGAATACAAAAAAATTGATATCATTTTAGCTGGAATGGAATTACAAGGGTCACGATAGGAATGTGAATTCCTTTCCACTAAAGCCTTGATCAGTCAAAACAGAAGGACTGAGGATGAACCATTAATTCCTTGTGGTGTATTAGGGCACAGGCTACTGCACAAAGTGTTGTGGAAGAACAGATCCTGATCCTCTGTAACAACTGTCCTAAGCAGCTGTTAGGACAAAATTAATAATTCTAGATGAAAGTGCATGGCAAATTAATGTAGACAGCTAGATATGTAAGAATATATTCCATGCTGTCTTGTCATAGACCAAAACATTCACTTATGAAAAAATCAGAGTTCAATATGGGGAAAAAGAAAGAGGAAGACAGAAAGTGAGGTGATTTTCCTATCCATTCCACTTTATTTCATGACATTGTGGAGGAGATGTGACATCTCAGTGAGACACAGAACTTGATAAACTCAAAGACAATTCCACGACTTCTCTCTGTAAAGTGTTGTAATTTATAACTTGCATGGGCAGATGGGAGAGAAAGGAGACAGCTGCTGGAGCCACAACAGCTGACTACACCAGATATGCCACAACTGCAAAACAGATTTTAGTGAGCCCTCTCTCTTTTTTTTTAGTTTCTGCATTTACCAAGAAGCCAAAGACAACAGAGGTGACAGCCGGAAACACAGCTGTGTTTGAAGCAGAGACAGAAAAATCTGGCATCAAGGTGAAATGGCAGCGAGCTGGCACAGAAATTACTGAAAGTGAAAAATATGTCATCAAGACAGAAGGCAACAAGCATTCACTGACAATCAACAATGTAGGAAAAGAAGATGATGTGACATATGCTGTAATAGCTGGAAGTTCCAAGGTCAAATTTGAACTCAAGGTCAAGGAACCAGGTACATAATTTCCTATGCAATTCTGGTTTAATCAGTATTTCTAGTCCCACATGCAACCTTCACAGATAAAGCCCATGGAAATTAGCGTATTATAACACTGTAAAATTTCTCTACCAGTAACACATCTGTTTTGCCCAATTATTTGAAGCTGCTAATTCATATTAAACTGAGGAATACATTTCCAGTGGCTAAAACACCTCTTTCCACATGTCAGAAGTCCACAGAGAAGAGATCATAGGGGAAATGTCAATGTACACCTTTAGAATTCTGTCAAGCTTTTACACTTAACTACTGAAAAGCAAAGCAAAGCTAATCTAACTCTCACTCTGACCTCAACTAAGATGCCTAGTCTTAGGACTGAATTTTTTTTATAATAATTTAATTTAAATACAAACTTGTAACAATTGACAAAACACAAGTTTTACTGTAATGTTTCTAGAAGCTCATACATTCCCCAAGTCTCCTGCTACCAAAAATGCGTATTTCAAGAAGGGTTTGAATATGAAAAGTAACCTTTGTATTATTTGTGTATCTCCCATTATTACTACCTTTGAACACATTAAAAGACCAGTTACATGGAAGTTTCAAAAACTTTCCCAGGCTTTTCCTGGGAATAAATTTAAAGTGTCAAATTCCCTGGAATTTTCTCATGAAAAAGCATCTGAAGATGCTTAGCATAGATGAAATCACTCATTTTTTGATACATTTTGACCTTCCAGGTCCCTTTTCCCCCTCTGAAATTGTATCCATTTACCACTTCTGGTATTTGACTTTTTGCTTTTCAACTTGGTGAAAAGCCTCAAACTCACACTGTTTATGTCACTTCCTTTTTTTTGCTATCCCTGTTTGTTCTAGCAACATGATGAGACCTTTTGAGACCTTCTGGTCAGCTGAAAAGAAATGGAGGAGTGTTTAACATGATTCAAGATGTCCTGTTCCATATGCAAAGACAGGACATGGCAGATTATGTGTAAAGGGAAATCCTGGCATGGATTAGAACAACTTGACTGCTCTCAGAGCATACAGAAATATGGTCCTGCTGACTAGCTCATCCTGAAAGCAAACCGGTCCATATTGTCCTCATTATATTTTTCTCATTGTCTTTCAGGTTAGTTCCATGTAGAGGCTGCTATAGGCAGAAAACTTGCAAATAATGCTATGGAGCATAGTGGAGTAGAGTATGTAATGTTACAGAGTAACTGGATTGCCCGTTATTATTTGGAAGTGGCTCCATTACCTACAGAGAAAAAATATCTTGCTGCAACTGATCTATTTCAAGAAATTCTACCTCCCTCCATCTGCTCCAGTTGCTCACTCCTACTCCATTTTCAGACAATTCTGTCTTCTCCATTGTGCCAAATGCATTTGCCTAAATTTGTCTCTGAGATCATGGTTTAATTGAGAGGATACAAACTTCCATAAGCCAGGGGAAGATATTACAGATGGATTTTTAAAATACTTTGTCTATATTGTTTACTAGCAGTGTCTAGAGCTTTTTCCAAGCTGCACACAACAATAGCCTTTAGAACATTACATTCCAGCAGCATTGTTAAACAAAATCTCATTAATAAGAAAACAGTTTACAAATACAATAATTACATCATTTTTTCATTACCTTTTCTGTTCAGAAACTGACAGTAGTTACTTTCGTTTACTGACATTTGCAACAACTAATAGTATTATTCATCACCTGACAAGTTTCTACACATCAAGACTACAGAATTTTAAAAAGCAGGCATCAATTCTTTCTGAGCTCAGCAAAAGAAAAAACCTCATCATCCGGCTTCAGTGGGCCCCTTCTGCTTTCAGCACATCCTTAAGCTCTAGGAAACAACAGCTAATTTCTCTGCATTTCCTAAAATATATTAAAGGCTGTTCTTTTGCAAAATTTCTTCAAAAAGAAAGAGGAAATAGACTTTCTCTAATCTTGGCTTACATTCATTTCCAGAAAAGAGTGAGACAGTCACTCCTGCAGAAGCTGTTCCAGCCCCAGCTGCCTCAGAGTCACCTGCTCCACCAGCAGAAAGCAGCCAAAAAACAGAAGGTAATAGAAAATTAACATTGACATCAAGTCTGGTTTATTAGCAGAAGGGAAGAATATTCACAGGAACTCCTTAGTGTGAGATAAAGACAGTAAATGAAAGCAGATCATAAACAATAAGAATCTCAGAGGCAGAAGAAATCTACTGACAAGTTTTTAAATTAATTAACTAGCTCACTATATAGTTTGATGCAAAAAAATCTAAATAGTAATTATGATGTTTATTTCAGTTTCATCTGCTGAAACACAACCAGAAGAACCTCTGGACCCCATTGGACTCTTTGTGGCACGACCACAGGATGGAGAAGTTACTGTTGGTGAGTGCATGTTAGTCAAGTGAAGTTTGTGCACTGTACCTGTTGCTTGACTATTACTTCTCCAAGTACAGGGTGATAGCAGTGATACAACACATAAACATAACTGATAATCTTACTTTAATCTACTTCTCCTGCAAGGTGGAAATATCACATTCACTGCCAAAGTTGCAGGTGAGAGCCTGCTGAAGAAGCCATCAGTGAAATGGTTCAAAGGAAAGTGGATGGACCTGGGAAGCAAAGTGGGGAAACATCTCCAGCTACATGACAGTTATGATCGAAATACCAAGGTACAATTGGCAGAATAGGCTTCTCAGTCTTCTAGGTACTAATCTTTAATCTGAGGAAAATATAAACTAAAATAGGACTGTTTTGATGTTAAGGTACCCAAAGCAACACACAGGGCCATACTTATCCACAGAAGTCTGTGTTTCGACCACAGAGACAAGAGTCAATCTTTACATACAGACTCTTGCATACTTTACCAATGGTGAAATGAGAAAACATCTGGAGGACTGGGGGAGTAGTTTTGCACTTTCTACTGCAGGATTTCCTTCATCTTCCTCTCCAGAAACTTGGAGAAAACAATTAGACAGCTATTTAAGCATTGTCTATCTTGGTCTTAATAGGTCAATCATTCTGCTATTAGTGCTGGAATTCGTTGCTCTCTTGGATTGTCTAGAATGTTTAACGTAGCTGAGTAAGACACATTTTTTACCAGAAATTCGTCCAAAGGCGCCTGAGCAGGAATACGAGTCTGTACCACGACTTTGTTTCCTCTGTGGTACACGAGCCACTACCACCCTCTCCTGGATGAAACTGGACAGGCTCGCTCACATTAGCCACTCCTTTTGCTGAATTCTGGCATGTTCTGCATACGTTCTGGGAAGAGGCTAAAACTGCTTGGTGAAAGCTTTATTCCTGTTTCCAGTGCACATGCAATTAGTGTATGTCCCAGCATAGTTTGCTAATGCACCTTTGTATCCTCAGGAATACCTGTACTGACAGCAGTCTACAGCTCTTTCTACTGAATTGGGGATTATAGGTAATTTTTTGTTACAGTAATGAGTTGGACACTCGCAAGATTCTTAGTTCTAAAAGGACACAAAGACATAATTCATCCTTTGTCTATTTCTGTCCATATAGTCCTTCTCTTTCACCATTTCATTTTCTAACTTAATTATTGTATCATTGATGTCTCTTCTAGGTGTACACCTTTGAAATGGAAATCATAGAAGCAAACATGACTTTTGCAGGAGGGTACAGATGTGAGGTGTCTACCAAGGACAAGTTTGATAGCTCTAATTTCAGCCTGACAGTCAATGGTAAGGTGGATTCATTCCATCTATTTTTTTTATCTTCCTGTCCCTGTATTTTTTTTTTTTCTGTCCACCAACAATTCTTTCTGGTACAGAATGGTTACTTAGATAAGCATAGACCTGAAATATAGACCTGAAGATCCAGAGAGGAGAATGGGATTGGGATCATTAGAAATACCACTTGGTTGTCACTCTAGTCAGAACTGTGATGCTTTTAAAGAAAGCACACACAAAGAAACAAAACTGCCCACCTTTTCTCTGACTTTATTCTGGTTTCAGATTCATTCTTTCATGATGTTTAATTCCACTAGAATAGAAGATAAGTTCATTCTTATTTTGGCAAAAGTTCAGTACAAAAAATGGATATTTGAAAAAAATAGATTTAGACGTGTGACACTATTGTCAATTCATTTTTCCTTCCTATATAAAGGAAGATATATAAATTGTCTCTTAAAATTAAGAGCAGATGACTCATTTTACTTAATGCATGGTGCCACCCTCACAAATGCTATACTGAAAAGTTTATAAAAATTGAAAGGAAGTACGTTTCAACATCAATTTACCTTGAGTGTGGAAAAGTTTAAGTAAAAGAGTATAAGCATGAGAATAAGAGACCTGAAAGAGCTGGATATTTGGACCATTTCTGGTTTCAGCAATTCTGTTGAAAGGACTGCAACATTAACTTGTATCCAGCTACCAGTGAACCTAATGTAAAGATAAAAGTTCATTATGTTACTTGATCAGCAGTGTTAATTTTTATAGTTTTACTAGATAGGAACTCATAAGACTTAGAAGCAGCAACTGAGAACAGTTTTTCTCCTAGCAGCAGCAGCAGCACACCAATTTATACCAATAATGTAATAAAATTCTCTCTACACAACATCCTCAATTAAGTTTCTGTACCTCTCTGCATAGTTCCAGGAATTTACCTGTGCTGTCAGAGGATAGATTATAATTTATTAATAATAACAGTATTCAGTTTATGTCCAGTCATATTCTCATTAGGGTTTAAATACTCTGTGAAGACCCTATTTAAATTAAAATTTTGCAGCTGGAGAATTGACAAGCAAGAGATAAGATCCAGGCTCCAGGTCATTATGAAACATGAGGCAGAAAAAAGTTATCAAAGAAACCACTGGATGTTGAAAGCTAATTAGTGAAGGCTACATGTTTAAAGATGATGCATTAATCTTTCAGCATGCAATTAATCACAATTAACAATATAAAAATTTATTTCTAAAAATGTCGGCAAAGCAAAGCTTAGAAACAGCAGCGTATTTTTGCATTTTGTTGACTTGCTTTCCCATTTTCCTTTGTTACTTTCTGTCACATCAGAAGCACCTGTAAGTGGAGACTTGGACATTCGAGCTGCCTTCCGCCGCACGTGAGTATGCACAGCAGAAACCTGTCTAGATCAGGTTGCACATCCTTGTGGAATTCATTACTTTCCCAGATTAAAATAGCAAAAAGAAAAGCTGTTGTACAAACAAACACAAAGATACAGATGTCTACTAAGAAAATATTTCTGCTATTAAAATACTATACAACTCCTGGAAATCACCTAAGAGAGCTTGGACTTTGTACTAGCGTAGTAATCATGCTTGTCTTCAGTTAGGCAATCCATAATGTGTACAATTGTAACAAGAACTTCAGCACCTTTTTTCCAGGCCTGTAAAGAGCACTCCAGATATAGACCAATAGAGATGGAAAAGATACTGTGGGGTGTTGGTCTTGACTTTGTCTGGCTTGAGGAATTACATGTACCTTAGTACAAACTTTCTAAACAAGGAGGGTGGAGTTGGGTGTGAGCTCTGTAAGGAGCATATAACTGATAACATTCCTGCAAGCATTTTGATTGTATCTGTTTTTTTGTTCTATATCTATATTAATTGAATGACGACAATGATATTGTGAGTGGTGAAAACTCAGGTAGTCTTAGATATTAAAGACTGGTGTTGAAAAGGCCAGTCTCCCCCCATCTTTAATACTTTCCGAACTGGTATCTCTCTTAATGGAATAACGCTCCCTTCTATTAGTAAGATTCACAAAATTGGCTGGATTTTTTTTAGTGTTAGACATTAATATGTGCTCTCTTTTTCCTTCATGTAATAATAAGTAAGTTTCTATTTTAGTTTTTATATGTTTTTTTGAAAAGTAGACCAAGTAGACCAAGACATCTATTTTTCTATAGGACACAAATCATCTGTGGCAACTCTTTGAGTATCTCTCTGAGTCCCATTTTTATATGAGAATTTTTCTAACAATTATCCCAAAGAATTAAACAAGGCTAGCAGAATTTATCTACAGTTAAGTCCATCTGTAGGTAGCTCACCAACCTCACTGTAACACAGTGGCCGCTCAGTGCATAACTGCATTGTGTTATTGCACTGCAGTGAAAGGAGAGTTTCTCTTCTTGTCAGCACAGTTAAAAGAATTCTGAATCAGTTCGAAGGGAGTGCAGCGTGAGCAGCTTCAGGCTATTCAAATTGGCAGTTTCTCCTGTAAAAATGAAGCCAGATTTTGAACGGAACTGTTTAAATCTGAAGCTGTGTCTTTGATACCCCCACTCAGGAGCCTAGCAGGAGGGGGGAGACGGATGACTTCAGCCTTTCTCAGGTAGTCACTGACTGTGTCAGCAAACAAACTTAAGTCTTACAATGAACTGTCTCTCTCTGCTTAGGAAAAGAAAAAAACAACCCCACAGAATTAAGATGAAGCTTAAATTTCAAAGAAATCACTGTTTATAATGTGTAGTATTTATACATACGAATAAGAAGTAATGTAAGACAAAAAAAGGGAAAAATTAAAAAGATAAGAATATAAAAGAATAGATAAAAACAGATAAAGAAAAGAGTAGCTTGGTAGATCAGTGAGAGGCAGATTCATCTAGAGAACATGCATGTGTTTGGCAAGTGGCATCTTCTCACCCTTGTCAGAAGAAAAAAAGTAACTTTAAATTATATGCATGTCTGCCCTCTGAATTACGTGCTTTCCTATCTGCTGAGCACATTTTGGCTAAAATTGTTGTTGCTCACAGAAATGTACCAACACACAACTTAAAAACTGTTGTTTCTTGGCACACTCATCATATTATCATTAAATTTTTCACTCTATGCGGTTTGCTCCTAATGTTTTCTACTATAGCAAAAACAGGAATTCTGAGATTAGACTTAACTATATGCATGTTAAAGCAATTACTAGTCTTATTCTTCAAAAAGCTAAACCTTGATTGCTGGTCTTTCCTGAAACTTTAACTACCACTTGTGAAACAATAAGGTGAATAGTTATTCTCCCAGCTGTAGATCTGATTTACTGAATATATGATCACAGAAAATCCTTTCCAAATTTCTGATTACAATAGTTATTTTTATGTACATTTTATGCCTGCAAATATGCAAATTCTTGTGAAAGTAAGGCCAAAACCACTTCTCTGTTTGAGCCTTATGCCCAGGAAATTACCCTTTCCAGTACTGTACTATTCTGAAAGTAACCAAAGATGTGAAAACAGCATTTTCTTAGAGAAAAGATCTCTTCTCACAGCATATTTCAAATTACACAGACTCTAAATTGTTGTTTAACCTTATATTGTCCAGCAGCACAAGAAACTTGGCACTTGTTTCTGTTTTATTTTTTAACAGTACCTCTAAAATGCTCATCATTTTTTTGTTTAGGCTGTTTTCTTCTAAAAATTCTTGTTCCTGAAATACTGAGTTTTCCCAACACTTTGATTTACATTCCATAGACAGACTGTTTTTTTCTGAGGCAATTAGGACTGTGTGTGGACAGAAGCAGCATTATGGTCTACAGCTACCACCGGTACAGCTGGAAAGAAAAAATTCTGCCTATGAAACAAGAATTAAATGCAAGGTGTTGCTTCTGGAAGAATATGAATGCTGTGAGATGGAATCACCAGATTCTTGCACTCAAGACAACAGAGATGTTAAAGAGCAGCTGGCCATTGATGATAGTAGACTGGTTGAGATGAAGAAAATACATTTGGGCTTTCTAAATCCCATCTGAATGCAAAGATGACCTTTTTTTCAGGAATTAAATCTAAAGAAGAGATCGTAGTGACCTTATGCTATTTCCAGAGTAGGTCAATATTACAAATGTTCAAAAGCACAGCTAAAACCTACTGGATTCAGAACACCAAAAATAACATTGTGCATTCCATCTGAGTTTACCATATGCAACAGGCGGAACTACACTCAAAAAACTCCTGCCTGGTGCGTCTTGTTTTCTCAGACCATCTCATCACAACATTGCTTGTCATGATGCTTGTTGAGCAAAGGCCTATTGAACCTCATCTCAGGCTGAAAGCCAGATCACGGGATTCCTCCTTCAACTCTCCCAAGCACCAATGATGCAACACCTTTTTTTTCAGTGTAATGAATCCTGGTAACACAATGAACCTCGAGAAACAATTACAGCTGGGATAATACTAAGGGTAAACCCAGTGATTTTAGACTGTGAGGCATTCCACAAATCTTGATTAATACTGTCCCAACTGTAAGCAATATCCACATTCCTAAAAGACAGAGGAAAGGGGGAAACTTCTGCAACACCTATTACGGATGATAATGAATACATTCCAAATCAATATGATGACCAAATTAATAACCTGTATAACTTCATGCTCAATCAGCACAGAAAAAAAATACAATTTCATTACATTTATTTTTAAACCTAAATGCAAATTAATATGAACACAGAGCCTACTTAAGTCACCTTCCATGTCAATGCACATTCTAATTCATTATAAACCCATCTACTACTTCTCTACAAAAATACGTCATCTGTATAGTGTTATAGTCTCACAAGCTATTCCCTTTTCCTTCTGAAACTAATTATGGCTTTTCTATACCTGTACAGTACCGAGGGACACGATGATGGGGCAGAGTTTAATTTCAGCTCTCTACTGAAAAAAAGGTGAGTAAAAAAATCCATAGACTTAGATAAATAAAGCTTCTGTTGAACGACTCTGAAACAACAGAACTGGAATAAGTTCTGTTCACAAACTCAGAATCCTTGTCATTTTCCTAAAGCAGCTCTAAATGGAAAAAGCATGATAGGCAATTATGGTTACTTCCTGAAATACACAGCATTTGCTGCATTTCTGCTAGGTTTATATCGGAGAAAAAATAAAAAGAAAAAAAGGAAAGAAATTATCTTTCCCAAGATAGAAAATTCTTGGACTCAGGTTTCCAGCAGCCTTTTTCATGGGAGCAAGGGCGGGCATTAAAATACCTATTTATAATGCTGCCTTATTAAGAACCAATATTTTTTTAATTAGATACCTAAATGTAAACTATTACACTATTCAACTATTATATAGATATTCTATTTTGCATAAATATGACAAATATGTTTTACTCTTCCAACTGTAATTGGCATTTCTTTCTGTTACTTTTACTTTCACTTTTTTTCCCCCTGTAATTTCTTCTCTAATTCTCATCTTTCTTTGTTGTATCTGTTTTCATAACCTGTTTACTTATGCTCTTCTCTTTTTACCAAACTCTTAATCTGAATGTTTTGGATTCCACTGTTGCCAACAGAGAGTAAGCTTTCTATTTAATTCTATTACAAATGCATGGGTCAGACTGAATATAAGAACCCTTTGGTTTGGAATAATGCATGCATCTTTGTCGTCTTTACATGTAGAACATGGAAAAAATAGTGTCAAAGACAATTGTTGATTGCTAATTTCTGAGACAGAAATTCTTTTAAACAGTTCTAAGGTTAAAATTAAGACAATTTCATACAATCAATGTATTTCTCTGAACATCCTTTGGCTTTTACCATTACTTTCTTTCATACAACCACTTCTAAAATTTCCTTGAATTACCAGATTTTCTCAATAACCTGCTGTTTTGTATTCCTGTTGTCACAGTATTTAGAATCAGAAAAATCATTTGCATAATATTGTTGCCTATTTGCTTGCTTCTTTCTGTTCACTGACCCTGGCCACTCAGTTTGTCTTTCCAGCACTTGAAACTACTATAAAAACTTGTCACTTAGATTCATGTTTTGGAAGTCTAAACTTTCTTAGTTTAAGTTTCCACAATCAACTACTTGGATGAGTGTTGTGAATCTGTGTTTACTCTCTGCTCAGGTAGCGGTATCACTATTTATAAAAACTGTTTTATCCTCACAAAGAGTACAGGATCATGCTGACATGTGAAATAACTCCCTGCAGAAAGCAATAAAGTCATAACAGCCACAGGCTAATTCACTCAAACTTCAGTGGGGCAAACAAGGCCACATGTGCACAAACCCCTGTGTTACACTCCATGCAGGGCATCTGTCCATGGGTGAATCGTGGCTTAGCAGTAACACCAAAAGCAAAACACTTCAGGGGGACAGACAGATCAGACAGAAAAGACACCTATCAAACTTTCTATAGCTGACATTGATATCTAAGTTTCTTGTTCCAGCATGAACCCAAGTTGTTATAAGCAATCTCTAGTTTCCATAGAAGATGTAAGGCATAAAGCAATAGCTTATCTTCTTTATCAAATTTTAAATAAATGAAAGCAAGCATGAAAATATTTGCATAATTGTATACAGGGTCTTCAGCTGGAATGAGGTGCTGAGTACTAAGAGCCCCTCTCCTTGTGCCTTTCTCTTTTGCTCTCATAATTAGTTTTGAGCAGTAATCAAACTCAAAACAGCAGTAACAATCTTAAGTATTTACAGAAATATTAAATTTATTGATTTAACTATTATTTGTTAGGCTACAAATATAATTTATTAAAAGAAGCTTATCAATTTCACTGCTTTTTAACAGTGTTTCTGCCATTTCTTGAATTACAAATCTCTGCCTAGTGAATTTAAGAACATAAATTCACTGCTCCTAGTTGTTTTTCACAGCCACTTCAGAAGTAATTCATGGACTCTTCAGGCTTTGCACACCTCAGGTTGAAGACCACTTATATTAATTAGAACAGATAGGCATAAAATCTCATAATGGAATGAAATAATTCTTCATTGAAATAGAATAGGAAAAGGGATCTCATGCTGGGGAACTCTCAAGAGCTATGCAGATTCAAACAGAATCGAGAATTATTCTTTTACCATTTCTGCTTTCTTACACCATTTTACAAGTGTCCCTCAATCCACAGGTAATGATCATTCTATAATAAATAGCTTCACTATAATAAAGAGCTTCATTTGACACTGTATCTCCTATCACTGTAATTTAATTAACTGGTGTTGACATACAGATGTCATGGGCCAAGGAGAGGTCATTGGGAAGAGGAAGGGAACAGCTGTCACAGGACTATTAAATGGGATAGTGAGCAGAGACCTTGAAGGAGGTGACAGCTGACAGAGTCCAATCAGTTGACAGTAACTGGATAGGAAGGAACCATTTCTGGGATGTACAAAACTATTTTTAACCCCTCCACATATGTTTAAAACATACCAGCTGCATATTCCATTTACAGCAGGTTCACTGAGCTGGATCTTGATGCCCCCAAGAGCATAGCTAACCTATGAGGTGATCTCTGTGAATAAGGATCCCCTGCATCAGGGAGAAGAACAGAGGAGTGGGAGAAACCTCATGAGTCCAAGTGCTCTATTACTTTTCATACACTGCTTAATTTCTTTTGGTAGTGGAGAAGTACAGCTTCTCTGGGCAAACTCTGTTTCTTTCTGGGATCAAAGAGAATATTTCAACAAATGCAAAATAGTGAAAAGGAGTGCTGGGATGGGAAAACTTTGCTCAAAGGCAAACACTTTCTTCTTTCCATTTTCAGAACTCAGTTAAACAGAAATTACAACCTCTAGCTTTTAGTCCCATTTTGCATGAAACTCAAAAGTATTTTATTTTAATTTTTAAAAAATTAGTATTTACTAGTAAGAGACAATATTCTTTCCTATGTTCAAACTTCTTATATTACATACACCAGAACACTATTGCAAGATAAAACAATGGGATGACACTGAGTAATGGAAATGCTAGAGCAAAAACTAGTGAGGTCTTCTCAATCCTGAAAGATATTAGATTCCTTTGGAACTCCTTTGAAATTGGAAGATTTTTCTCATTATGTACTTAGAAATAACTCACACAAAACATTTCTGAAATCTCCATGAATAGTCCTACCCGTAAATTTTCACATATAAAGTGTGTATATACGGACAAGCCTATAAGTAGGCAGATAGAGAAACTACCAATATTTACGTAATGTCTTAAGGAAGATGAAAATATTTTAATTTCTTAAGTCTTTCTTATTTCCTATGATTTTATACTTTTTTAGATACATTTTCTCCACAGAAGTTTGACTGTATTAGTAGAAATAATAAATACATATTATAAATATTATATACCTTTACTTTTATATAGTACTTAGTATTTAATACTTATATATCTATTTTAATATACATGTCTTTAGAAATATTTGAAAGCCACTCCTTGACATGATCAGGGCAACAAGCCCAAGAACTGCTTATGTAAAAAAAAAAAATCTTGACCTATGCGGCAAATCAGTTCAGTTTTCCTATCTCCTGCTAAGCAAAACTAAAAGTTATTTGTAGCAGCCTTAAACTAAATGATAAGTATATAGAAGAGGAACCCTGGTAAAATTTTTTTGTGGTGTTGATGCAGTGTTATGGCAAAGCAAATACCCAGTATGCTGCTCTTATCATAGGCACTCCAACCTTCAGCTCCTCCTATCAATTCAGTGAGTGCTGGTGAGGGCTTCGGGCTTAGCGAGTGCTAAAGCACTTTGATGATATGAGATATTGCCTACCAGATTTCAGCTCAGTCGCAGTGAGCTGAAATCCTCTTCTCTTGCTTCCTTTCTGTTCAAGAGCTACAAGGTGCTGGAAGTTCTAAGCTTGGACTGAAGCACTTTATTAAATACAGTGCTCCTATTGCAAGCAGACACTTTTTTGGCAATGAAAGGAGTACCAGAAATGTTTGGTTATATCTGCTGTCTGGATTGACTACAGTAGTACTGTTAAGTAGCAGCATTTCTCACAAACAAATTAGACTGTGATTTTCCTGCAAAAACTGGAAATACACCCAATAACATTCCACTTTTCTCTGTATCACCTATTGCATAACTTGTCTTCTTGTTGGGGTTTACCACTGAACATGACTTCGTTATAAGGGTGTGTTCTGCTGCACCAGAATCTGCTTGGTGCTGATGGCAATCAGAAACAACAGCCACAGGAAGTTCTTTCTCCTAAGAATTTTTCAGTAAAATGTTACTTCTTCCATAATTTCTCTATTTACCAAAATGCAAACTATGACAGGCAAAAATACCATGATGGCAGGGGGAAGTAGAGTTATTTGTTTCCCTGGAAGGTGATCAGCCATAAGTAGGAATAAACAGAAGTGATTGCACTCAGCATATAAATCCCACAGCAGAACTGTACATGCAAAGTGTGGGAGTGAGTTTGATTTCAGTATGGATCAGCATTTCCCTCAAGCCCATTTCAGAGCATTTGCATGAATTCCTTCATCTCCCTACTACTGTATCACAGGCATGTTCTGCTAAGGGTGAAGATGAGATTCGTGGCTCTTTTGTACTAACACATGCTGCCCTTTTTCTTGCCCGTTGGGATGCTGCGTATTTTCCTACACGGTTTCTGCGTCCTTCTGGAGTACAGCAGCTTCCTGCGCCCTTCCAACCGGTAAGGTCATGCCAATTTCCTTTTCTATTTATGATCTTTCAAACAAAGATATGATGGCAGATAAAAAGGAACACCTCTCCCAAAGCCAGACAGCCAAATTTTCCCTTAGTTTTACTAAACCAAACATTAATTCTTTCATTGTCACTAATTCTTCAGCTAAAATATAAAATAAGCAGTTCATTGTAAATACTGTCTTGTTTGTCACTACTCACCAGTCTCTTTATGCTTTATAGATTACTACAGACAACAATTTCCTTCACAACAGATAATAAATGTCTTAATAACCTGTGATTCTTTTCAGTGAAGATAAAAATTGTCCTGAGTAGAAAAGGATACGCCTCCTACCTACATAAACCAAGCACCTTTTTTCTAAGATGTTGCCAGCATATCAATTCAGTTCCTTGCTTTGCTGTGTTCCATGTTTTGTTATTGACCATGACAAGAAAATAAGTTTCCTTATGTTTCTATTACCCATCATTAAAGGAAGTTAAAATGTATTAGGTTTGGTTGTTAGAAATAAACACTTCAGGACATAATTCAATTTTAATCACTATATATAAATAAAATCAAAACAAGTCACCAGTTTTTTTTTTCATTATTTTATGTAATAATATAGTAAAAAGCTAGACTGTTAATTTTTTTTTTAAGAAATGGCTTCATCAAGACAATATGTAGCTGCCAACCCTATAGCTTTCTTTAAATACTCTTAATAGCAGCACTCAGAGACTCTGATCCATTTCTTCAGAGGTGAAGGAAAATCTGAATCACAATCTGATGTTGATGTCTGGGATATCCTGAGGAAAGCTCCTCCTACGGAATACGAGAAAATTGCTTTCCAGTATGGTATCACAGATTTGCGTGGGATGCTGAAACGCCTCAAACGCATAAAGAAGGAAGAGAAAAAAAGCACAGGTTGGTGAGATGCTTTTCTTCCAAATATAGTGTTCATATCTTCTTTACAGCAGGAGATACAAGATCATGAGAAATAGTAATTTCCTGTTCCAGCTATTACCCAGCATTTACATATGAAATACTGATTACCAAAGATTGCAGCTATGCCCAATATTCTGAGATACCTTGCTCTGAACTCTGGACATACTGAACACGCTCACTTCACCATCTCCACAAGCTTGGCCCCTTATATTTCCCTGAACATAAAACAACATCCCCTACTTGCCCCCCACCCGAGTTAGTCAGTATGTCAGGCAACAGTGACATATTTAAACAATTTAATTTTCATTGGTATGATACCCTTGGAATTCTCGAGCCTTTTTCAGTCCTGCAAAGTATTAATTGCCTAATTGTAACTGACTTCTTAAAAAGTCTGAAGCAGAGGAGGCAACAGCCTTCATTCATCAGTACTGAGAAGACCAAGTATAATTTTCTTGCATGGGGAGATGTAACTCTGTTTAGGATGTGTTGAAATACATATTCACATCTTATTTAGAGTATTCTACTTTGCTTATTTTGGTTTGCAGCACATGCTTGTCATCCTACATTAAGGAAAAATGGTACAGGATGAAGAACAGACAGGGTAAAAATTCAAACAGGGATGCAGAAATTGGGGAATGTTGAAGATGATAGTAAACAACATGAAAGGGAATAAAGATTTGTTTCATGACCCAGAATGAAAACGATAATATATATAAATGATAAGGCTTTTTTTTAATCATTCTTTATCATAGCATTCCTCAAGAAACTGGATCCAGCTTACCAAGTAGACAAGGGGCAAAAGATCAAATTAATGGTTGAAGTTGCCAATCCAGATGCTGATGTGAAATGGCTGAAGAATGGACAGGAGATCCAAGTGAGCGGCAGGTAAACTAGAAATATGAGAACTTCAAAAAGGAAGGAGCTACAGCTTGGACAAAGTGAAAAATCTAGCTTTTCTGAGAAAGAAAGGAATAAACAGGGAGAAATAGGAGAGAAAGGATCTATGTAGTGCTATGGCTCAGGGTCAGTTTGCTGTTGTCATAACATTTTCTTTTTTCTTCCCTCTGCTCTATATATCTACATGTGGGACTGGATGCCTTCGTCTACCAATTTAGCAAGTAAGTCCTGAGATTATATTCTGCTCTTGATGGGTATATCCAGGGCTCAAATGCACTTTCTCCTCATCTGGGAATTTCATCCATGTAACTTGTATGTAAAACAAGTTTCCAGTGATTTTGTGCCGAAGTCATTTTTAATGGTAGTCATGCTAGATCTTACGACAGCATCCAACACCATTCACAGGATCACATCTCACACTTGGAGGAAGATTCCCCACAATTTCCTGTGCTTGTTTTTCAAACACTGCTTCTGTTCACTGTACCAAGACAGGCCTATTGGGCTTGACTCCTTACAAATCTTGCCACTGATGTCAGAAAAAGAGGAGGAATCTTTTTTTTCTTTCAGGCAGGACAAGACAGTGACTAGGTCCAGAAGGGTTTTTTCCTGATAACTACATTTATATTCTCTTTTCAGATATATTTTTGAGGCTGTTGGAAATAAAAGAATACTGACTATAAACCACTGCTCTCTAGCTGATGATGCAGCATATGAATGTGTGGTAGGGGATGAGAAGAGTTTCACAGAATTATTTGTAAAAGGTGAGCAATGGTAGCAGAAGGAAATAGACTTCCCCTAACATTTAGCATTGACATTCTCTCATCTACTCTCAGATTTATCTTACAGGAAAGGAAATTTGAAAACATATTAACATATTCTGAGATCTATTGAAGTAGGTATTTTTCTTACAGTTAAATTGAGGAAAATTTTGCCTGACACTAATCAGGAAAGCAGAACAATGATAGTTATCATTAATTTTCATTCAGAAAGTTATTTACATCTCAACAATGGGGCTAGAAACTTATTTAAAACTTTGATTCTGCTCAAGACAAAATGTGCCCCAAGCTCTACAAGCAGATCAAATAGTACAGAAAAGTAATTCCTCCTGTATAGAAATTTAGAATATATGTGAAAACTGTTTAATCATATATTTTTATTCCAATTCATAAAAATGTAAATTGAAAACTCTGATAAGGTGATCTGGCATAATAAATTTTAAGTTCTAAGATAGCATCACCATATATTTGTTCAGGGACTCTTCCTATGGAGCAGAGAGTGGTGAAATCTACCTCTGGTCTCCACCATTTCAGAATACTGTTTTAATAAAATTTTCTTTATTTTCAGAACCTCCAATCCTGATCATTCACCCACTGGAGGACCAGATGGTGATGGTTGGAGAGAGAGTGGAATTTGAGTGTGAAGTGTCTGAGGAAGGAGCAACTGTGAAATGGTAAGGGAATAGATGAAAAAAACAAAGCAAAGCAAACCAGAAAGAAACCATCTTCCTCCATGGAACATACCATGGAGGTGTGGAATAAAAAGGGAAAATGGATCCTACATAATCAATTTCATGAAAAGATTGTCCCTCCTCCTATATGTCAAACACTGAGGAGGAACCGAAAAGTAAAATTATGACACAAAAACCCGTATTTAGCACAGATATTTTATAGTGTCTCTAGAATTTCTTGCTCAGTGTTTACACTTCAGTAATATCTAAGTATTGCCCAGACTAATCAGATCCATACTGTGGCAAGTTCGCTGTACTTTTTGAAATTTTCTCAATTGCAGCGAAGCATTTGTGTTTCTAAAATACTTTTTCTTAGGTAAAAAGGTTAGTTAGTGTCTCTCGAGACACAGAGGGAACACATCTGCTGTGGTGATCCTGCAAAGCTGGTCATTATGCTTATACAGCAAGGATTAAGATGACAAACATTTAGACCGTGGATCCTGTTTTCTTGGGCATTGCAGCTGAGCAGAATTTGGAAGGTGCATGCTGCCTGGGCAGGCATGACAAGCAGGGTTCATATGCCACATCTCACACGTGCTATTCTCACTTCATTTCTCTACCAGATGAAATTCCCTTGTGCTTGTTAACAGCTTCAGGCACATGGTTATCAAGCATTCCCACAATGCCCATTACATTCCTGGAAAGTGCCAACTAATGATCTGCTGTCCCAAAGGAAGGAACTGAGAATTTAAATGGAGTCCAAGAGCTAGTACAGGGTGTGCATTACACTATTAAAGCCACAAGCACAGGGACATGCATTCTGTTGTTCAGGAACTGCCTGCAGATGCCTGGTCACAAGAGATGGGGACAATCAGATCTGTCCCTCTCAGAACACAGTGCAGCTGCCACACTTTGATCCTGTGCCTTTGAACAACTCCCATACATCTTGCAGAGCTGTTATCTGTGGGATGGGCATTTGATGTGACAAGGGCAAACCAACAGCTGCCTCAGTCTGAAATGCAGCAAGTGGTCAGAGAAACTCATCAAATCATTGCAATGGAAAACTGAGCAGTTAGACATTCACACTGTATTTTACTGGTTTTGTTATGTGAGACTCTGTCAATGCTCTTTGGCAACAAAAGGGAAAATTTTGGACAGGGGAGAAAAGTGTCCAGGGAAAACTTGAAACACAGTGTGGAGAAAGAGTTCCAGTTTTATGGCACATTAGGGAAATGATCAACAGTTTAAGCCAAGTAACAGGCACTAACTCAGAACACCTGTTATAGTTCTTAAATCTTCAAACCCAGGATATAAAACAACAAGCACATGAACAAAGGCAATTATGTGACTTGCACGGCCACCAGACTAGGGCTTGGAGAATTCATTACGTGGGACTCTTCAGAGCAATAAGAAAAGAATGTTCTCTTGGAAGCTTTCACATTATTACAACTCTTGCAGTACTATGGAACAGGTTTTTTCTAAACTTCAGATGGTCTTGAAAATAAGATAATACTTGAAAGAAAGGTATAATAAAATACATAGTTTTGATCTAACTTGTCCATCTCTGGATGCTGGATGTACTATCTTATCAGCTCCAAATCAAAATATACCATGTTAATGTACATTTTTAGCAATAAATCTGTGTGTCCCAATTATCACATAGTACCTACATCAGTGATATCTCAGAAAACATCAACCAATTAATCCTCAGAATCCAAACAGGAAATAGGAGTGCATTTCCAGACAAAGAGGAATGGAATGATGAAGTTGAGAACAGATATTTGATCTTGCAGATGTTTGGGACTTGGAGAGATTAAACCACAGCTGATCTACCTATTACTGAACTAGGTCTGCTTCAAATGTGAGGCTGGGCAAATGTCCTATGGTGTTCTGTAAACCATTTCTATGATTCTATATAATGCTTCACTTACACTTTAACATCAACAGATTCTTCTATTTTATAGTTCCAATTGCCAAAGGAAGGCCTGTAATATTACCTTATATAGCTTTTCTGCTTTTCACAGCAGCAGTGTATTATTTTAAGACAAATGCTATCTGGAGTTCTGTTTCGAGGTTTACAGTCTCTATTTGTCACTGCATCCTTCTGCAAACTCTCTGCTCATCCATAGGATCAGCAATGTGCTAGTCAGTAAAACAAACACAAGTTAAAGACAGTATTCCCCTCCAAGGGATTTAAGACACTAATCATTACAAAAATACTATTTTCATTATTTAGTCAAGATTTCAAGAGAACTCTTTCTTACCAATGGGTTAATAGAATATTCAGGTACTTTTCATGAGCCATGTATCAAAATAGATCTTGAAAAAATAAATTTAAAAGTTCAGCTCCAAAAGTCTAGCCACAGTGTGAGCTTGGCTTTGCATTTAGTGACAGCAGCATGCTGAACTTTGGGATTAAAGTCCATTCTCAGCGATTCGTCAAATGTTTCTGTAATGCATTGTGGCACTTGTTCCAGAACTAATTTGCATGGATCACAACACCAGCCTTAGGAGATCATCTTACATGTTGTCTCAGAATCTTGTCTGAAGAGGAATGAAGAGGAAAGAAAAGGAAACATTATCCTGACAATAATACTAAGTGCTGTGTTTCAAGTGGTTGTTGAAGGCATCCTCTGCTTCCTCCCTTACTAGCGCTGTTCTGTGACCTGGAAGGGAGACCAGTCCTTCACTAAACCAGCTCTGAGTTCCAGAGAGCTCTGCAGTAACAAACAGCCATGAGGGAGTAACCTGTAGGTATTCTGAAATGCAGATGCATCAGGAACATCTAAATCACAAGCTGTAATTTCCTTGTCTCTGCTTAAAGTTTCGATCTTGTGATTTACTTTAGCAGACTCTGACAGAGGTAAAAGGTCTTCTTGCATACATCTACTTAGAAATTAGTACTATAGAATTTTAATGAGTCCCAAGTAGCACTTCCATTTGCTATTCTGTAAGCTCATTTGTTAAGCTGAATAGTCACTCAGTCACTGGTCACTGATAAGTCACAAATAAGGGAAATGACAAAAAATTAGAAATAATATTTTTACTCTATTAAAAGCACAAATATTTTCTATTTGTTTTTCCATGTGACTCCCAAAGAGAAAAGCTTTTTCATCTACAAATTGCAGCAGTATTCAAGTAACAAAATAAAAATATATTCAAGTAATAACAAAAAATGTAATGCTACAAAATTAGTAAATTGAAGTAATTGCATGTATTTGCTGTTTATGTTATTTATGATTAGGAACAGGAAACCCTTGAAACACCCTATGCATTTTTGTGTGACCTTGATTAAACAGCGTGAGTCCTCCCTGTACTTTTCCCTTCATGATGACTGGAAATTACAATAATTAAATTTCCTCCTGGGCTAGATGGTGAAGCTTAATTTAGTAAAGTCTTAAGTATACTGTGGCATCCTTGAATGGAAAGAGCCACAAAATCCAAAATACACATTCATTTGAAATACATCATAAAATTTTCTCCTTTTGCTGATGCCCACAAATCATGGATTTATAACAATTAAAACACATTAGGAAAATTAAGACTTTTAAGTAATATCCCATCAAGTCCCATCTACTTTATGGCTGTTTTTAAGACAGTAAATTCCCTGCTGGTGAAGTGTGTTTTCAACACTTTTTCTCCTATAGCATTTAACATACTTTCATGTTTATCTATAGAATATAAATGAAGTAATGAAAAAATGAAATAATTACTTGTGGTGAATTCTCCTGAACGAGAAGTCAAATACTTAAGGAAAATTAACAGTCAAGATTGAGGCAATGTCAGTGCAATTCTGGTTGCACTGACATTTGTGCAACAATCCCTTTTTTGCCAACTTGAAATGCTACAAAGATTGGGTTCACCTGGTATCTTCCAATCCCTAGTAACACTGAGCTGCCCCTCCCTCTCCTCTTTCAGCCATAACAAAAATGACTCAATGCTGTTTGGAATTTCAGGGAAAAGGATGGAATTGAACTGACACGAGAAGAAACATTTAAATACCGATTCAAGAAAGATGGAAAAAAACAGTATCTCATTATTAATGAGTCAACCAAGGAGGACAGTGGACACTACACTGTGAAGACCAATGGTGGGGTATCAGTTGCTGAACTGATTGTGCAAGGTAGGCACAATATTCCAGAACCAGAGAAGCTGAAAAATGAGATCAGGCTGAAGGTAACCTTCTCCAGATAGGGCAGAGTGGTAGCTAATCCCCCTGACAGGGAAAAGGGAGATGCAACAAGGGACATAGGGTTTGATAATAAAGGCTTCAAGGAGAACTCAGACCTGTGTGCCGGATATAACAGATACTCTGATAACAACAGGTGCTTAGCTATCAGTCCTGTTAAAGCCCTGCAGGCTGTCTATTTCCCTTCATATTTCCTCCTTCCATAGACAGCTTGCTCAGCCCTTGCCTATTCTACTCAGTAAATCCACATCATCTACTTACAGAGCTATTCTGATTTTTGATGTGTGTATCAATTATTCTCACAATATCAGAGAAAAAGCTGGAAGTTTATCAGAGCATTGCAGACCTGACAGTGAAGGCACGTGACCAGGCAGTCTTCAAGTGTGAAGTTTCTGATGAAAACGTGAAAGGCATCTGGCTGAAGAACGGAAAGGAGGTGATCCCAGACGAAAGGATAAAGATCTCCCATATTGGCAGGTCAGTCTTGTCTCAGAAAGCAGGTACAGGCTTGGGAATTGCAGTGCAATCCATAAGAATTGTTATCTCAGGGCTTAAGAATATAAAGGGAGACTTTTTCCTGGCTCCAGCTAACAGGTAAAAAGTTTAAAAGCTTTTCATATGCAACCAACATTTAGCGACAGACTGGTTTTGTATGTGTGCAGTCTGAGTTGGTTCATTTTATGTATATTACTTCAGTGGTATATCAGCCAAAGTAAATCTTCGTTTTCATTAAGATTACATGGTGTTTTGGTATTCAAAACACATAGTTGATAACTTTAAAACTAGCAGTAGTGTTAAGATAGTACATATGAGTAAACCCTACAGAAAAATTACCATTTATATTGACATATACAGTTGTGTAATTCTGTGCTCAAGTTTCCTAGCACTCTAGCTACTAATGGAAATGGAGACCAAGAAGCTTCAGCATTAAATACCAAGTGAAGTCTTTCCTGGTATTCTTTTCTGTATTCTGTTTTGAACTTAAAATAATACAGGGATGGAGAATCACTTTTTAGTTTGGTGAGTCAGAGTTACTGTTTCACAGTCGGATCAAATGAAACCAGTCAGCAGTGTTACAACTGCCCTTGTGATGGCAAAGGACTGGACTAGAGCAAGGAAACTGCTTCCTCTCTTCAAACAATCTACCTTGACAAAAAAAATCCATTCATAGACAATGTACTTATATGGATTCGCTTTAATACTGAGAGCAGAGCAGTCTACAGCCCTGGTGGTGGTTGACTTGTGTCGTGGCAAGGGAAGAAGAAATAATAATTTCTTAGTTAGTTAGTATCCTATAGCCTGCACCTTGTCTCTTGACATAGCTCTGCTTCTCCTGGGGATGCAAGGTAAGGGAGTGCAATATATTTGTTCATATTTCCAGAATCCATAAGCTAATTATTGAGGATGTAACACCAGAGGACGAGGCTGATTATTCCTTCATTCCACAAGGATTTGCTTATAACCTTTCTGCCAAGCTTCAGTTCTTGGGTGAGTTATTTTAGAACGTGTAATGGGAATCCCACAGGGATAAAATGGTGACATTAATCATGGTTATACCAGGGAAGAGAATGCTGGTCTCTTTCCTGATACCTCAGTGCAGGCACATTGCTTTTCCCTGTTGTTTTGCATTACCATTATCACATGGGTTTACAGAGCCTGTTTTTTAATTTATTGTATAAATCTGATGATTAATGTGCCTTATGAAGTTTCAGTCAGCTTTTAAATTACTTTGTTTGTGCAGATACTATGTAAAATCTGTTTTCTGATCTATTTCTCCTTCCATGTCACCTCTTTCCTTTCCCTACCAGAGGTCAAGATAGATTTTGTACCAAGAGAAGGTAAGAACAGCAATCACTATTTATATGCAAGTAAAAATGTTTTCAACAGCAAAGTGAGCAGTATCTTTTTTTCATTTTTAATTAAATGCATGAATATTCTTTTTTTATTATTATTTTTCACTCAGATTACTCAAACTTTATTTGAAACTTTTCTTCTCCATCTTTACTATAGAACCCCCTAAGATCCACCTTGACTGTCTGGGCCAATCCCCTGACACAATTGTCGTGGTGGCTGGGAACAAACTGAGACTGGATGTTCCTGTGTCAGGAGATCCAACACCCACTGTCATCTGGCAGAAAGTAAACAAGGTAATGTGCAACCTGACAGAGTGTCTGAGGCAAGTCACAACTGCAAATTTATTTTTCCTTCTCAAATATTACTTGGTTTACAGTTATTTACAAGTATTTCCATCTTCCTTTCAATTTTATGTTTTTAAACCTCAAGAAAAAAAAATTAAATGCATGGACTGCAGATGCCTGGGACATAGTTGGCTTTGTGATTCATCCTGAACTGTTCCTTTTTATGAACTGTTCCCTGTTTTTTTAGTCCAACAGGCTGACTGTATATGAGTAGATATATGTAGATGCAGATAGACGGATGCCATACACATTTATTCTCTTCCTACCTCAGAGAAAAAAAATAAATTATGAGTCATCACCTTCACCTGATAGAATGAACATTTTCTGAAGGTGGCAACTTCTTTTTTTAGTCTTTATCAAGGATTCTACCATTTGTGATGAAAATGTCATCTTATCAGACTAGTGGCATAAAACTGAATTTCATATAATAAAAATAGAGAAACTTTGCTATTTACCTTATCAAAGCAATTACAAAACATTAGAGAAAGTACTTAGAAGCTAGATTTAAAATGTTAAGTGAGCTTCTTTTCTGGATATCTCAAAATATCTCCACCCCTCACCATCTGTGGGCTTTTGAGCTATAACTAGCACAAAACAGAAATATTTTGCATAACATTCTCCAGCATCATTACACAACCATATGTGTAGATACAGAAAAAATAATATTGCCAATTATGTTAATTCCCCCAATCTCCTACTTCTTCATTATTATGCCACATTCTTATTCAGGTTAGCATATCTAATAGCACTCAGAAATTTCATCCTTCAATGCAGAATTAGTATGGAAACAATTTTTTTAAAAGCCAAGAAATTGACTCTTCTATACAGAAGTTTCTCTGATAAAATAATGATTGGGTATCAGACAACCTCTATACAGTGTTACTTCTAAGGTGTGAGGTCTCAACACATGAGGAAAAGCAACCAGTCATGATTGAAGGCTGTGTAGAATATACGAATGAAATCCCAAAGAGTAGCACGGCCTCAAAAGATCTTGTTCGATGAGTGTTACAGACCCAACTATTTCTGAGTGTTAAAATATTTACATCAATTTACTATCCCATTGTTACAGAGAGAAGTAATCCTTATTTTTGTACTTACACATACAGAGTAACTAGTATCAGAGGACACAGGTTACAGCAATACTGCAGGAATGTTATTCTTCTTCCTTTGCTAAGCTGCAAACCTGAGTTTGCTGACTTATCCTTCCCTTAATTCACCACATTCTGATACTTTTTTTCCATTTTTGCTTTTTACTTCCTTTTGGTGGATTTCCTTCCCAGGTCTGCTTGCTGCCTAACTGCTTTTCTCACACCTTCACATTCAACCCCCCTAACAAACTCTTCTCTGCCTTGCAGAAACAGCTTTACTGCTCTGCTCAGCCTTAGCTGACTTTCTGTGGTTTCTTTCTTTATCTAGAGAAACGACCTACTTCGAAACAGTGAGGATTCCATGACTCTCTCAGAAAACAGCAGTGATTTAAACACTGATAATAAGGCAAGTTCCTTCTTATTTATGCAACCACACAAATGTTAGTGTTTTCCAGGTAAAAGGAAATAACATTTAATTCAGTAGATACTAAAAATCAAACAGCACATCAGGCCCACTATTCTGCCTCGCAGTGGTAATCACCTGCTGGGCACAAGAGATCTGGTGAGCAATTTTAGAGTAGGAAGCTGATTGACAAAGTCTTTCTAATCACCATCATATGGTGACTGGGTTACAAGGAGTTAAAGCAGTTATTTGAAAACTCTTTTAGATTCATTTGTGGGGATTTTTTCCCTCAGTAACCTGTAAGTTTCAATAATAACTAGGACAAAATCTTACAGGACACATGGAAAGATGACAATAGGTAAAGAGAGTGGATGGATTATAAAGAAGTGAAACTGGATTCACTTTGCAGCAACTTTCATTTTTCACACAAATGACTTCTCTCTTGATAGAGTAAAAAATATTTTACATTTATTATACAGCAAGAAAACATTCTCAGGGTTAGGGTCCTGCTGCACTGATCACTATTTGGATATGTATTATTTCTAGTGGTTCCTGTTCTAAATCTAAAGATATATAGGCACATAAGGAAGAAAGCAGTGTATTACATATGTACAACTACATTGTGGTTATTTTGTTTAGATTTTAGCAAAAAGTAGAAAGTTTCCCCATATTACATTATTGAGTGACAAAAATCACACTGATGCCATTAACAGTTACAAGACTTGTGTTTTAATTTATACAGTAACCAGCTGTTAACCATGAGACTCTTCACAGTGATGCTAGCAGCTGTACCAAGTAGGAATTTCTGGAAGTACTCAGTAACTTCTTTGAAACATAACTGGGTTTGTGTAACTACTGGTCAATCTCAACAACCTGCAGACTTTCAGAACCAATTTTCCAAATGTTATTTATGTGAACCAACTATGTTTTCTCTCTTCTACATACAAAAACAACTTGAAATATTTTACAGCTTTTCAATAATTATTGTAATATTCAGTGGTTTGTAGTTTTTCTCCAGCTTATACACAGACTCATCAGGCTGTCCCTGGCACAAAATGCAATGATTTTATCTGTCACTTTCACTGCCCACAGCTCCTGTTTGAATCTGAAGGCAGAGTCCGTGTGGAGATGCATGAAGACCATTGTGTCTTCATCATTGAAGGGGCAGAAAAAGAGGATGAGGGAGTTTACAGAGTTATACTTAAGAATCCAGTTGGAGAAGACAAGGCTGATATCACAGTCAAAGTGATTGGTAAGTGAAGGAAAGAAACAGGGAGAGCATGAAAGAATCTTGAGTCTGGTGAAGGTCAACCTTCTCACAAAGTCTAAAAGTCTCTCTGATACAAGTTCTGACTTTAAGTTTAGAAAAATGGGAAAGGATCATAAGGAGAGGAATATTATCAATCATAACTTTGGCAGAAGTATTTTTTCAGAGGTGAAAAGAAAAGAACTCCCAGTAGTAACCCTGTAGTAACCTGTCTCAGGTGATTCTATCATTTTATGGATGACAATCCATTTTGAAGTACATGCTTCATGCTTGTCAGAAATAAGAAAACTTTTTAGTCATTTTGTCATGGGTTATGTTTTTAAGCAGAGATTACTTCATTCTATAAGCAGTAAATGGTTAATGGAATAAAGAAACATAATGTATCTGCTGGAAGATGAACAGATTGACAGACTCTTCAATGAGTCACAAAAGACCAGGGAGAGATATGATTTTGAGTCAGTAAGTTTTATAAATTTTTCATAATATTTAATTTGCTGATACCCTGACACACATAACAAAAGAACAAGTTATAAGCAAATCAGAAATTATGAAAGAAATTTACTTTCACCTACAGTATTAAAATTTAGACTTCCTTGGTAAATAGTAAGTTTTCTTCCATCTTTTATAAATATTAAATCAGGATTTACTATGAATATCTCCAAAGTGACATAATATGTGAGATATGCAGTCGTATTTTATAAAATTTATTCTAGAGAAAATCGGAAGCCCTGGAGCAAGTCTCATCTTACAGAACAGAATTACCTTACATTTTTGCAAAATTTTTATTATGTCTGGGAAGAAAAAGGGAGATGAATAATCAGTGATATTTAAAGGAAATCAACCTAACAAAGAAGAATTGAAGAGCAGGATTCCCTTTAGACTAGGTTAATACATTATGGTTGTACCTATTGTTGCTATCTGATAAAGCTAGAATTATATCACAGAATTACATAATAAATTTGTCTGGAAAAGATTTCTGATCTCATCAAGTCCAACCGCACTATGTCAACTAGATCAGGCACTGACTGCCACGTCTAGTCTTTGCATAAGCACCTCCAGGGGTGGTGACTCCCTAGGTGGCCCATTCCAAAATCTAATCACCCTTTCTGTGAAGAATTTCTTCCTTATGTCGAACCTAAACCTCCTCTGGTACAGCTTGAGCCTGTCTCTGGATGCCTGGGAGAAGAGGCCAAATCCCAGCTGCCTACACCCTCCTTTCAGGGAGATGTAGACAGCAATAAGGTCACCCCTGAGCCTCCTTTTCTCCAGGCGAAACACCCCCAGCTCCCTCAGCTGCTCCTCATAGGACTTGTGCTCCAGACCCTTAACCAGCTCCATTGCCCTTCTCAGGATGTGCTCCAGCCCCTCAGTGTCCTTTTTGTAGTGAGGGACCCAAAACCAGTCACAGCACTTCAGGTGGGGTCTCACAAGTGCCAAGTACAAGGGGACAATCACTGCCCTGGTCCTGCTGGCCACACCGTTACTGATACAGGCCAGGATGGCATTGGCCTTCTTGGCCACCTGGGCACTGCTGGCTCATGTTCAGCTGCTGTTGACCAGCACCTTCAGATCCTTTTCCGTTGGACTACTTTCCAGCCACTCTTCCTGCAGCCTGTAGTGCTGGAGGAGGTTATTGCCAAAGTGCAGCACCCAGCACTCGATGCTTTTGAACCTTATGCCATTGGCCTTGGTGCATGATCCAGCCTGTCCTGGCCCCTCTGCAGAGCCCTCCTGCCCTCCAGCAAATCGACGCTCTGACCCAACTTGGTATCATCCATGAATTTGCTAATGATGGATTCAATACCCTCATCCAAATCATCACTAAAGATATTAAACAGGACTGGGCCCAACACTGATTCCTGGAGGACACCACTACCTTAATACCACACAGAAAAAGAAAGTATTAAAAATATTTAATTTACTTGCATAAAGAAATTGAAACAATAAAAACTCTTGTTCATTCTCACACTTTCTCCAGATGTTCCTGACCCTCCAGAGGCTCCCACAATCAGCAACATTGGAGAAGATTACTGTACTGTGCAGTGGCAACCCCCTAAATATGATGGTGGGCAACCAGTACTTGGTAAGAGTCCAAACACACAAAGCACAAAGTCCCCTGCATTGGCATATATTTTTTGCTGCTCCTTTGAAATGGCACAGAAGAATTCTCTGTGTAGACACAAGGAAGGCTGGCCCTCAGATAGGAGCTACTCTGATGCACTGAACCCCCAAACCGGCCCAGGGTCTGGCCCTCCAATTTTGAGGAGAGAGTGCCCCCTGCCTGTGCGGTTTGACTCAGAGAAGTATTTCAGCAAACAAGTTACCAGAGCATGAAAAGGTGAGATGAAAAATAGCTAAAGCTAACTATCCTCATTCAAGACTGAAATTTTAAGTCAGTATACTGGCCTTTGTGCTTACTTAGGAATATCCAAACAGATCTGTGGCCATGTCCGTCATCAACTCCAGACATCGGCAATCTCAGGCACTGATGCAATGTATGTTTTATAGTGGAAAACTACTTCATAATTCTACTTCATATAAAACAAATGGGCTATAAAATAGTATCAATCATTTTTGTGACCTCAAAACCTGTACTAAAAACTAGAGTGCAAAGTTATCACGTGATGCAGGAAATTAGCAGGCACACTCAAGATTATCACTGACACCATTTTAAGTTCTGCATAGAGCATGGTGAGTTTTAGATAGAAATCTCTGTGATCCTCAGAAGAAAGAGAAAACAATGCAGAGTCTTGACCAATTTTAGGGGAAAAAATTCTTCTGGAGTCCATGTCTAGCAATTTGTTTAATAAAGATCTCTGGAGTTTGAGTTTCTTTGAAAAAATACATTGAAAGCTATATTGACTCCCATGGGGATGCCAGAGCTAGAAATATCTAAAATTCCTTTAATCCCCTGAATAGTATCTGGAAGAGAGTAGTTTGCGTTTGCATTTGGATGTTTGGACTTCATTCTTTTCCACAAGATCTGTCTCATTTAAATCAATGAATTTACCTGTGCAGGAATAAACAAGGTACCACTGGGCCACTGCTCTGTGGTTTCATCTATTCTGACAGGAAGCAAGCAAGAAGTCAAAATATTATGTGCAAAGACATTTACCAGTAGTTGTGTCATTACCACAAGAAATCCCCACCTCACTGACTTTAAAAAGCCTGTGATTTTGTTTTGTAGGGTTTTCAGGGCACATATTTTGCAAAGTTCTTTGCTTTGTTTTCACTGTCAAAGGAAGGATTTTGTTGATGCTCGAGTAAGGACCCTTTGCACTACCTGAGGAGGTTCCTTCAGGTAGCACAAGGCTTCATTACTGCTACAGCTCAAATAAAACACCTGCAGCAGGGGGAGAGGAAAAGCCAAGATGCTGCACTACCCATTCAAACAGAGCTTTAAAAGCAAGAAGGCAGGGGGGTAAAAGGCATATTCATTCTCATCTGTCTTCATATTGTTACAGATGGCTTTGTAGGCAGTCAGATACAATCTTTATTAGCTGCATCCAACAGATATAAAAAAGAAATTCACACCCCATCTTCACCTTTCCTGGGGTTTTGTGTACTTTTTGTGTTACTAAAACAATATATTTAATTCTCACACGTTTGGTGCATTTGGGGATATAATCTGCTTTACCAAATGTCACCAATACAACTGTATTGTAATTTTACCTCCTTTCTGCCTGTTTTTTGGGGTTTTTTTTAATTGCAAGCCTCTTCATTTTGACACTTATGTGCTTAACACTGGTTATCTATAACAGCAAAAAACCCCAGGAACTGAGTTGATGGAACTTCTCTCAGTCTCATAGACCCTGCTGAAGAGAGAAGAAAACAGGAATATACCAGAAGAACCATAGGTTCGTTGCTTACACCATTTAACTCTGAAAGCTACTGAAGACAAGTATGCCAGGAGTACATCTTGATGCATTTCAAGTGATGATACAACCTGTCAGCTTAAAGATACTTCCACTGTTCTTTCCCCAGAACATTCTGTGGACTCCCATGTTCTTCCTGCATTTCAGCATTGACAGGAAAGGCTGCATGGTGTCTGTGCCTACAGCATGCCAGCAAATCAAATGTGCCTGTCATTCTCCTTATCCCTGGAGACACCTTAAGTGTGAATCATACTTCCCAGGTATACCAAAGGGACTTCTGCAAATTTGATAGCTTTGACCTTGGTGAGCAGCAGGGACTGAATCACTCTCCTGCATGGCTCAATTATAAGTCCTTGCTATGGACTTACACCATTGCAGCTGCCCCCTGTTACATACATCTGTACAGACCTCTGCAGTCCATGGGTAGGAGCACACCTACACAACACATTCAGATACATGGCATGTGTACATGACTATTTTCTGACATTCACTCTGTAGTTAAAAGATGAATGGCTTTCATAGCAAAGTTTGTTTGAAAGAAGCCTATATGGATCACATCCAGTCACTCTATCTGCAACACAGAGAAGCAGCAGAAATTTAATATAGCTAAATGGAAAGAAACAGTTCAGTAGTCCTTTGTAGCAGGTCAACTGGAAAATATCTGACATCTATGTTTCCAATGTGATATACAACCATCCTCCATATTAAGTATCAGGAATCACAGGTTCCGTTCCCAGTTTTGGGAAATGAGAAGTTTATCTTTTATACTGATAATCCAGCCTCACTTAGTCATTCTGGAAAACAACATGGTAGTGTTGGAAAAGCTATGGATGTTCTGGAGAAGTGCTAAGACATGGATTCCAGGCATACAGATGACAGCTTAAGCTGTGCTGCAGATTTGGTCTGCAGTGCACCCAGCTCTCTTTGTTCTCTGTTATCATACAGGCTCTCTTTCCTTCCCAAGGAAATCAGAGCAAGAAAAATGGTGAGTGCCATATCTCACTCACTGTAGGGCTGAAGCAAGCTGAGATCTGCATTGTCTGGCAAGCATTCTGCATTTCCACCACTTTGCAAAGAACACAGAGATCTAGCATCAGTTCCTTGATAAAACATTAATTTAAAATAAAAGGAATTTTCAAACTGTTCATCCAGTTAATTCTTTGTGGGGATTTAGGCTGTTAGTCAAGTTTAATGAAGTGGAGCAGAATAAAAGAAATAAATTAAATTTTTAACTCTATACCACATCTTAGACATTTCAAGGAAATTTCTCCTTTGCTTAAAAGGATTTTCTTTTTTCCTGAATGTGAGATAACAATTTCCAGTTCTTTTACATCATAACAGCTGTCCTTTCCAGGCTATATTTTAGAGAGAAAGAAGAAGAAGAGCTACCGATGGATGAGACTGAACTTTGACCTTTTAAAAGAGCTAACCTATGAAGCCAAGCGGATGATTGAGGGAGTGGTTTATGAGATGCGGATTTATGCTGTGAATTCTATTGGCATGTCCCGGCCAAGCCCTGCCTCACAACCCTTCATGCCAATTGGTGAGTTTTGAAACTCCATGGTATTTTTAGGATGAAACAAATTTTTGATCTCTTTTCTTCAACCACTCTTACAGCTAAAAAGAATGTATCAGGAAAGAGGCTATCAACCATCTCTATATTCTATATTTAATCAATCTTTTCCTTTGTAATATTCCTCTATCTCTCATGCTCTTCCTGAAGAGCACAGAGGTTCCAGTTTCATGAAATTGCTGATGAATTTTTAGTTGTTATAATTAGAAGTGTGAGAGTCAAGCTGGATCTCAAAAGGAGGAGAACTAATTGACAGAGATTTCCCTGTCCCTCCCAGCTTCTCCCATTCCCCTATGGGTGCAAATATCACAGTATCCCGTCCAGTGCTCCCTTAATCCCAGCCCTCTCCACAGCTAAAAGGATAGATGATTAAGAAAATATTTGAGGAATGATTTTCTATAAATAATCCTTCCCAACACAGCAGCGCAGTGTCTCCTGCAGTCCCTGAGCAAGGAGCAAACTAAAGGAGTCCTCAGGAAGCCTGCCTGCTAAGACTTTTAGGGAGAAGACCCACAGAAATACAAATAGCTGGAGATTAAAATGACTAGAGTTTCTAAATCTACAAATAACAGCGAAGGGGGACAGCCTGCTGACGGAGATAATGTAAAAGCAGATGATGCAGTGAAGGAGTCAGAAGGGAAGGCTGAACTGCAAGAAGGGTCTCTTAATTCTGGATTTCAAACTCACAACAGCTGGTCTGCAACAAAAGAGGTCAAACAAGAATCATCAAGTGGAGCTACTGAAAAAAAAGGTCCAAAGTTTTCATGGGATAGGCAGAGTTTTACTTGATTAAGGATAAAGTTCACACTTACTTCTTCAGAGAAGAGGTTTGGGGTTTTGATCGTGTACTGTGTGGTTGTGTATGCTCCCAATTGCATTTGCATCCTGTGTGCAGTCCTTGCTCTCATGTGAATACAAAACTTTTGACAGTTACAAAAATGAAATTAGGTGATTTTTTGGGGGTTGTTTTGTTGTTTTTTTTGTTTGGTTGGTTGGTTTCTTTTTTACAATAACTCGAGGAACTAAGACTGATTTCAATTAGTTCCACAATATGAGAACCTGTATTTAACTTACCTGTTATTATGTATATTCAGTAGATGTTCAGTTTATAATACACATATACACATATTATGCCAAACAGAATTATTAACACAATTGCTCTTATGGTATGTATACTAAATTTTATGGTCCTACACCCTAAGTGTTATTTTGATAAAGTTGTTATCTGTTTGGTTTTTGGTATCAATTATTTCACAGTAACATTTATGCGTATTTTGAATCCTCTAGTAAGGGCTTTTCTTGATTATTTTTAAATTAGTAGAAAATAGTCATGCTGCAGAAGACTGAACTTAGCTAGTTGTCTTTCTGAACTGTGGGTTTATAAAAAGCCATGACACGCCTGTTTAGAAGAGCTATGAAAAAGCTGTATCTAAATCAAAATTTTTTATCCCCAAAATATTTTTCTTAAGAATGTCTCTGTTACAAATGCACAAATCAGAAGTAGTGTTTCTATAAACATGTAGTCATAACTTTTGGGGTTTTTTTCACTGTGTGAGTGAAGTGAAATTTAGGCACTGTCAGTTTGCTCCTCTGACATGTGAATTTTGTCCAGTTACAATCAGGGTGTAAGTCAATTTGACTCTCTTCTACAAGTCTTCTTTTTTCAGCAGGTTTTCTCTTAAGGGAGCATCTGTGAATATGAACTACTATTTTAACCTCTTGTTCCTTAGCCTATTAGAGAACTCTTATGCTCTGCTTTTATTAAGTGATGTAACAGGTGTTACACTTTACAACTGAGCTTCAGGTAGATTTATTTTATTAATATAGACAGTGGTACATTAATTAGTGGTTAATCACTCTTTGTATAGCCTTTGAATTCTCATAGTTGTATTGCTATTTCTCAGAATCTACTTGTCTGTGTTTCCTTACAGCTCCTCCAAGTGAACCAACCCACTTCACAGTGGAGGATGTTTCTGACAGCACTGTTTCCTTGAAATGGAGGCCCCCTGAGAGGATTGGAGCTGGGGGATTAGATGGTTACATGGTGGAATACTGCAAAGATGGATGTAAGTAAGCATGAGTACTAGGCAGCAGCAACAGAGCATTTTAAAAATGCTACATTTGCAATAACTTCATCTCAATACACAATACCAAAAACCTAACCATTTCCAGCATGATCAAATTTTAACTCTAATCAATGTCTACCTTCCTTGCCAACCATCATCATACTCACTACAATGTGACTGTAAAACCATGGAAGTCACATCCATAATGTCATCTTCACAATCATCATAAGCTTTAACAAACATAAGTAATACAAAAATATCATTACTGTTCTATAGTCACTATTATACTTCTGTATCATTCATTAATTGCATATTCCTTAAAACAAATAAAATAACACAATTGTGACAATATCAGTCAAACTTTAAAGTAACCATTACCTTACCTCATTTAAAACTATTACTGGTGATAAAGAGTGTAACAGCACCATATCTACAAAATTCAATGTTCTGTTATGCTACAACATAATACTTATGTCATAAAAGTCCAAGAACAAATTTATAGTCACTTCAATATTGACATTTTCCCTGACACTAGGCTTGATTGCCAAATAATCTAAACGAGGGGGTTTACAGAGGTAATTTATGTAGAAACAATTTATGGTCTTTAGTGAGACATCACTATAAAATTGCCAAAATATCTATGTCATTGTCAGAGCAGAATGATTTTATCTGTCATATTTCTGTGCTTTATAAAAAGGAAGCACTAAGAATTCTGTTCTAGTGTGTCAATTGAGAATTAAACAATAAATTCCAACAGTTATTTGCTCTATTATTGTTTTCAGCATATGTGGCTCTCACTGATCTGTTTGGACAGACACAGAAGTTATATTTCCTCCAAGAAAAAAAATTAAGGCTTCACTTTCTTGCTAAAGCTACTTCCAAATTTCTCCCCATTCTTATGTAGTAAAATAAATGTCAAGAACTCCCACAGCTCTAAGTTCTATAAAACAAAATGCCAAAGAAACTACCCAAAGATGATTCCCTTATCCTTAGCTATTTTGAGTAATGAAGTGTAGAGATTGCTTAACTCCACATGTAAACACACCTCCTTGATCTACAGTTCTTCTTCCAACTTATTTTATTCCCTTTTAAGTATGGTGTTGTAACTTGAGTTCTTTTTACACTAATAGAAATTTACTTTCAATTGCAAACAAGACGTCAGTTTGGAAAAATAATGTGTTATTGCAATATGCAAATTCTGTAGCTACAGAATGGATTCCTGCTCTTCCTGGCCTAACTGAGCGCACATCTGCACTGATTAAAGATCTGGTCACAGGGGACAAACTTTATTTCCGTGTCAAGGCTGTAAACCTGGCTGGTGAGAGTGGAGCAGCAACAATAAAAGAGCCTGTTACTGTTCAAGAGATCCTGCGTGAGTATCTATACTGAATAAACCTTAGTCATTTATTTCCCCTGGCCAGAATTCTCCTTTATCTGAGAATAACACACAAACTGTTCTTCCACTTTGATTAGGAGCCCAGTGTCTTCTGACTCTGAGAACATCTCTACAGCACCCAGGTCTTATATTTGTAAAGCATAGCTCTTAAAATAAACTTCTACTTCTTACTTTCAAAATATGGACATTTCACCTCTTGCAATGGCACTGTCAGCATTTAAGAAACGTCTATTTAATATTTACCTCTCTGCTTGAAAAGCTCCTATATTACTGCAAAATGACTGTGTTGGCTATGGCAAGAGATCTATTTACCTCATTGTCGCAGATTATTAATTACCACCCTGGGTATCACCCAACAGCAGTAGATTAAAATTCATTTGACTGCAGTCCAAAAGACATCAAGAGCTGCTAATAGTGGATTCCTCAACCTTGGCTCACATGAAGTGTCTGCCAGAGTCTCACTGGCAGCAAATTGAGCCAGTGTAAATAAAACAAAGTTTAATGCATCTCAATACCAAACAGTCATGAAGATAGATACGCCGACTGTATGTTAAGAAATTCCTTCTGTAAATAATAGGGAAAAGACTAAGGATAAAAGGAGAGCCTAGAAAGCTTTCTAGTGAGGTAGAGGAAAGCAGAGACTAGATGAAAATAACATGAAGCAAGGTCCTTATTTTTTAGTGAAAAGTAAGATGCTACAAAGAGATTCCACTACATCCACCTCAAAGAAAGAAGTGCAACTGAATGACTGTAGCAAGATAAAGGAATCCATCAGTTGCTGTGCTTTCTGAGTAGGTCCATAAATACCTCCCAGTGGCAATTTACAAGGTGCTGCAGTATCAATATAGCAATAGATAACAATAATCTATAATCACCCTTTTACTCTAATACATCCCTTGTCCCATTCTTTCTACTGAACTGAAGAATTTCTCCAAAGAAGAATTACATCCAACAGAGCCACCCAAATTTGGCATTTCAAATATGACACATTTTCATAATGCTGCTGTCACTGAAAACATGTTCAGATGTAAATATATAACTGAGACTTAATGTTAACTTTTTATCCAGTAGACAAATACATTTGAAACTACTGAAAGACTGAGGTAGTCCCTAAAAGTATAAACAGTGTTTCCACAATTTTCTTATGCTTAAAATTATCTATTGCCTTATTTTTGCTATAAATAATGTTGCATATTATCAAAAGTATTTAGTGTACTAATGCTTAACTGCAGAGCGTCCCAAATTCTGGCTGCCACGCCAACTCAGACAGACTCTGGTGAAGAAAGTGGGTGAGACAATCAATATTGTGATCCCTTTTCAGGTATGTATCAGCTTCTATTTTGTCATGGTTATTTATGACTACTTACCTAAAGCAGTCTCCCTAATGCAAGTTCCCATTGCTTGACTGCTTAAGCAGAATTACATAAGTATGGCTGATGATTCATTAAACCCTCTCAAAAATTTGAGAAGGGGAGGGAATCACTCTTTTTTTCAGTTTTTTTTTTTTTTTTTTACAGTCAGAGTTTCTTCCTTAATCCCACCTTTTGGGGAAGAAAGAAAAAGTGGTCTAAGTAAATGTAAGCCAATTCCTGCTTACTGGGCACAGGAGGCACATTAGAGAGAAAGTAGACAGGCTAGTAGACAGTGTAAGAATCCAGCTAATTACTCTTCTGGAACTAAGGCATATGATGTCACTGGGAAACTTATTTGGCAGTGTGTAGTGTGTATGCTGAGTTCTGAAAGGCTGACTGCAAAAATCAGAGTTTTCACATAAACAGAAGACCCCAGTTGGCCGTGGGATGCAGAACTTGAGTGTGTGTACAAAGACCTGCTTGGGCATTACTGTGCCTGAAGCATACCAGAGCATGCTGAAGATTATAAAGGGTGCATATATGTAACTACATTTCACTAAGACATGCACAAAATGCTAAAATATACACAAAAACTGACCTGATTAGTTACCTCATCTTGGCATTTTCTGGAGCTGTACAGACAACTATTTGACTGTTTCTAAAACCCCACATGCCTTTTTTCAGATGCAAGACTATAATATCAATAGAGTGCAAGAATTAGTGTGTGTAAGGAAGTGGTTTTCTAAGGGAGAAATAGCAAAAGAAATTGTAAATTACAGACTCTGGCTCTGACACAGATATCCTCAGTAATAACAGATATATCACTTAATCAAGTCTTCAGTTAAAATTTCAAGACACTGAAATTTCTCTACAGTCCAGGACTGACATTTATAGAAATGTAATCCTGTTATTAGTGAAGAACTTTGAAATCCTCATATAAAAGATGCTGGAGATATGTAAAACCTTTTTTCAATACACAATATGCACATATCACCTACATTTTGTTTGAGCAGCACCAACAGGAAAAAAATTATTAGAGTAAAATTTATGTAAACTTAAAGGTACTTGTCTTTTTGCACTATGGTTACTGAGTCACATGAAAAGTTGTGTTTTTCCCAGAGATATATCTGATTAGTATGCAATTGCACACCCATGAATGCATAATTTTTTTGAATTGCATGCTTAAATTATTTCAGCATAATCATAAGGCATTTTCTTTTCTTTCACATTTCTTATCTCCAAATTTTTAAAATTACTTTTTTACTGATATCTAGCCACACACAAAATTCAAGACTTGTACATCTGCTATTTCTGAGTTATGTAATTATTTTTTTTAATCTGTAAAATAAACAGATATTTTTCCTGCTTTGACATCCAAGTTGAAGAAAAATTGCACAAATCAGACAAGCTGTCCTATAAGCAGGGGAATAAAATTTAGCATTTTAGAGATTTGTGTCTTGGGTCCCCTTGTGCTGGTTTGACTGGGCAGTTAATTTTCTTCATGGAAGTTACTATGGGGTCATGTTCTGAATTAGTGCTGGAAAGAGTATTGATAATTTTGGGGTGTTTTAGCTGTTGCTGAGAGCAGTGCATACACAGAGTCAAGGCCTTCTCTGCTCCCCACAAGACTGTCATGACACCCCCATATCACCACTGTCCCAGCACATGCAGCATCTCCTCTGCTGAGAGCAGCCCCACTGCAATTTTTCCAGAGATTTGCCAGTTCTGTGCCCTCTTCCCCATCTGACACATCCTCACTTCCCTGGCCAGGGCAAGTGCATGTGCCAACTAATCCAGAGCTTCACTTCATCCTGCCTCATCATTCAGCTGTTGCCAAACAAAAGAGTTAAAAGACTGATCTTTCCCTGACTTTTCTTAGTGGGAACACTAACTGAGGTTTTGGTATTTCACCCTGTCATCAATTTTCCACAGAACTGTACTAAGCTAATCTTAGAGATTTCAAGTGGTCTGTCAAATTTGCCCAAATTGAACCAACTGATTGAAAAGTGATTTTAGTAGCTGATAAATCATGTGCTGGTTTAAGCTCTTGTTTCCTAAAGGGTAAGGCTAACAAAAAATGCTAAAATCTATCCAGCAACACCAGATTTTACTCTGAGAACAAAGCCAGAAGACTTTAATTCAAGAAGTATTTATTTTTGAGTTAATTAAATTTGTCATAGTGTTGAATTGCAACTCTCACAGTATTAAGAATTGTAGCTATATCTATGTAGAATATGTAATACTGATGACCTTTCAAATAAAGCAAATCAAAAAGAACTTTTCCCTTCACATTTTGAAAAATTTTAAGTCACTGGCCATTTCTATTGCAGAAGAAGACTCTAAGTAAATACAGAATCTAGTATCTAGTGGAAGTGGAAGTCAGTGCCCTCTGCTATTTACAGTCTCTGTGCAACCTTTCCAGTGACCCCTGTGGTCACTACAGTAAAATTCTGTGAAATACACTGTCAAGGTATCCTGGGTTTAATGCTATTGTCAGATCTATTTAAACCTTTAGATCAAAGTGTCCAGAAAAGAAAGTAAAACATTGTTACCAACCTTTTTTCTGTTGAGTGCATTAAGCAGGTGGAACATTCTGGCGAAAGGAAGAGAATCAACACATTTTTGCTTCAAACTTAACTACGTGGCATGTGATTGGAGGGGTATTATGTGCTACTAGTGGATAAAAATCACAGTAGTACTGAGCAGTCTTTTTTGTCCATCATATATGTGTGAATATAGATATCTAAGAGCATTTAAATTCATTTTTCCCTGGCTGTGAACTCCCTAAGTTTCTCTGGTGCTATTTAGCTACTCTGTCACTCACTGTTCTCTCTCAGATTATCTATTACACATTGCAGAAATCCAATCCTCTGACATATGTATTAGGAACATGCTTTCTATCTGATTATGCTTTTCACAGTCTATAAATATAAGAGTATATGAAAACCAACACTTTGAACACTTGCAATCTTTCACTGGCTCTCACAGCACCTCAAAAAAGGAGGAGCTGTGAGTGAACATATCTGATCAACCACACTAGAACACCAGCAGCAACAATCTAATCAGTCTGAAAACCTGCCAAGTATTTGTCTTGACAAAGTAGAAATTTAAATAAATGCCCATAGAACTATACTATTTAGGCAGATTAATTTTATTTTGAAAGCATTCCCTAGCCAAATTTTTCATATCACTTTAAAATACAGGCATATGTGGGAAATAAAATAGAGCTAGTTCTTGGCCTGTTCACAAATAATAAGACACAGATACAGAAAACAAAACACAAAAGAACCCACACCCTTTCAATTATTCTAGAATCTCTACTATACATTCCAGCTGAAGAGAGGAAGTCATTTCTTGCTCTAACAGGTTTTTGTGAGGGTTCTCCGAAATGAGACCAGGGTACAGGTACACTAGAACAGGACAAAATTCTCTTGTGTCTGTTATTTCAGCACTGAGGGCCTGAGGTTCTCTTAACTATGCTCCTTGGCAGAAAGCTGTAGGAAAATAATTTACCAGAGAGGGAGAGAATGGAAGATCCAGAACCATTCCTCATTCAAGGGGTATATATCAGCCTTGATGTAAAATAATCTGCAATACATCTGATGAGTTAGAGAAAAGAGCATCAATGAACAAATAGCAATTTCTAGGTGTCTGAGACATCCTTTAAGTATAATTTTGGACAGATCTTGTCCTGACTCTTATAAAAGGTGAAGTTTTTTTCCTAATACCGCTGAGAAAAAAAAAAATGATGGTAATACACAGACCTTCTGAGTAAATACCAGACAAACCTGAAATAAAGGTGTAGCAATGCACAAAGATTCATTATTATTCTGTCTACCTTTAGGCATCAAAAGAGTCTGAGTATCTTGATCTCCCTCTGTAGGCTAAGGGAAGACATATAGTCTTTCAAAGTGAGAGAGAGGCTTTCAGTGGATTGAGGAACTTTCCAGAGCTGCTTTCTCTGTTGTTTACTGGAGGCAGTGTTCCCATTTCAGCACCCTAGCCTCCAGTTCAGGGCAGCCTGAGCACAGCTGGCTGCTGGCCTGCAAGGTCCCACTTTCCCTCTCCACCCATCTGAACTACTCCAGCCCTGTGCTGCACTGTTTCACCTTAGCAATCTGGCAGAAACTAAAAAAACCCACTGAGTTATTTTCTGTTGGATTAAATATTAGTACACTTAATAAATATGTTATGGCCATTTTCTGTTTTCTTGGGATTCCTTGTTTGGAGTTGTACTGTAGAAGTAGCACTCCAATAACTTTTGAACAATTAAATAGTACTTACCATTTTTCCTGGAAATGGCTGGATGAGAGTGGTGCACACCACTTATATCTCACTGATTCCACAATGCAATCTTCCATGGGTGTAGCAACCCTGACTGCTTAGGTTGACAGTCACCAAAATAATTTTGCAGTGCAGAAAGAATTATACAGTAAATTTCATGTCCTGACACTGCAAGGTGACAAAAATTTTTCAAAATATCTTCAAAATGCCTGTGGACAGAGCATCAAATGTTTTTAAAAAGGGAGAAGAAGGGGAGCAGAGCTAATAAAGTCCTCAGGTGTGTAAGGGTTCTGCTAATAGCAATCAGAAAACTCAGATCACCTGTTGGCTTCATGATGTGCCTGGGAAAGAGTACCAGACCAGCACAAGTATAGGATTTCTGGATTTCTTCTCAGTATCATTTCAGACTCTTACTAGATGGCATCCTCAGAGCATGGTGCCATTAAACCACACAGATGGTAGCAAATATTTGTCTGGAAGAAAACAGAAATTGTAAATTATTTATGGAGTTTACTATCTCAACTCTGTGTATTATATTAAGCTTTCTAGATTTATCGCTAAGAGAAAAATGGAAATACTAAAGCCTTAACATATTTTTCCCTCTATTTAGGGTAAACCAAGACCCAAAATCACTTGGCTGAAAGATGGTCAAACTTTAGACTCCAAAGATGTGGGAATTCGGAACAGCAATACAGACACCATCCTTTTCATCAGAAAAGCAGAGCTGCATCACTCAGGAGCATATGAAGTCACTCTTCAGATAGAAAACATGTCTGATAAAGTTGCAATAACAATACAAATCATAGGTAAGACCCTGACAACATCAGAATTAAGTAAAACAAAATAATGGCCAGACTGAGACAACCCAAAAAGGTCCAACAACCTCAGAATCCCTTCCCTTTCAATGGTTGCTTGCAGATGGTAGGATAAAGGGAAGGGCTAGCGTGTGACCTTATTTTTCTACTACATTTTCCCACCTTGAAATTATCTGTGTCCTAGAGACCTTCAGAGGGTGAGAGATATTTTTTGTGTTCCATAGCTCTTTGGTGATCTTTTTCTTGCCTAATTTTATCCAGTCTGTATTTAAACTAGGTCTAGTCTGAGAATTCAAGCATCCTTTTATAAAGAATTTCATTTTAAGTACATATACCTATTTGTTTTGATTTGAATCTGTCTCCCAACAATTTCATTTGATGTCCATACAGTTTTGTATCAGAAAAAAAACATGAATAGTCATTCAGCTTTTCCATGTTACTCATAATTTTATAGCCTTCAGTCCCGCTTGCCTCAGTTAACTTTCTCAAGTTTTACTCTCTTCATTTTGATTATTTTCAAACAGATGCCATTCCATATCCTTGATTATCCTTATCAATCTCCTTTCTATCACTCTGAGAGAAATAGAATTTCGGAGTTCTGGTGTTCTTACGCACAGCCATATTGTACTCAAGGAAGGAAATATTAATCTTGGAATGGATGTAGTCCTATGTGGTTTTTTCATTAGAGAAGGATAGGAAGATAAAATCATTGCTGTAATATGTAATACCGTTCCAAAAATTAGAAGGTATATTCCTGTGAATTTGAAAGATTCACATTTAATGCTTTACTCTGTTAAGAGTGTCCAGTTAGTCTAGGGCTTATTCTCTATTATACAATTTCCAGTCTCTTTTCTAATGTCATTTTAAAGGAATGCATTGCCAAAGTTTCCACAATTTCTGTTGGGATTATGTGAGAGATATTCTGAGATCTTGCCTATTCAGACTTCATTAATGTTTAGCCAGGGCTTTTCTATTTCTCCTCATTACCACTCTTTTAAACATTCTTGATAACTGTTTTTATTTCCCTTTCCCCACACTTTCACACCGTTATCCCATATTTCTTCCAGTGTATCAATATATTTTTAGAATATGTGTTTTGGCTCAACTCCTAATGTTTTGGAATTAAAAATGCTGACTTTGCTCTGCTTAAAGTTTTATTAATTATGTTGGCAGAATGGGTATGCAATGGTGCCAACAGCAAACAAGAATGGCATAAAAAAATTGGAGCAAATATGTCTTAATACGAGCAGCTGCTTCTGCTCAAGAGGGTGACTGCAGTTCTGCAAGAGCAAAATAAGTAAATGGTAGCTAAAACAAAATAATGCCAAGAGTGCCAGAGAAGGTGTGGATGCCCCATGCCTGGGGGGTGTCCAGGGCCAGGCTGGATGGGGCTCTGAGCAATTTTGTCTGCTGGAAGGTGTCCATGCCACAGCATGGGGTAGGAACTGAAATATCTTTGAGGTCCCTTCCAAGCCAAGCCATTCTCTGACCCTATGACTCAGGTAAAGGGGAGTAGTGCACCCTACACTCTAAATTATCTTTCTAAAACTGGTAAGTGACTCTTGATTCTGCCATTGCTCTTAGGCCATAGCATCAAGTATCTTCTGTCTATTGTTTGGTACTGTAGAAAGTCACAAAAACACATCCATCTACCATTGCCAGAGAGTTATACCATACAGAAAATGAACGAAGAAAAGAACTAATCCTATCACACAGATAAGAGTTGGAGGACAGACATTAATTTTGTACTTCTTGAGCAGTTTGGTCAAATGAATGGGAATACATATATTTCATTTAATTCATGACCAAGAAGAGAAAGTACTTGTAACATATGCAGATACTTCTGCAATCAGGGCATCTACTCTGATTCTTGATTCTGTCTTCAGAACTACCTCTTCTCAATTCTGTTAACTGCACTTTTTATTCCCCAGATTTTCTACTCTCTTGGCATGACAGAAATATGAGTGATTCAGGCACTCTTCCTACACTCCTAGTGGTGCTTTAGGTACTGTAGAACAACAGGCTGAAAAGCCTGGCTGTCAGAGACACCACAAGTCAGTCAGTGATCTTTTGAGGTGGCTTTTCATCAACTAACTTTTTAAATAACTTTCCCTTGGCAAAAGTCTCCTTGATAAAGAATTAATGCTCGTGGCTTCAGCACCTCCCTTTTTTGGGGGGAAGGCAAGAGTGCAGATAGCCAAAAGCTCTGTTGTGGTGATGAGTCAGGTCAGCTCCAAACAAGAGGAAACAATTCTGTTACTGCCATCACCTTCCCTTGTTGCCAAAACAGTTTTCGCCATTTACTCTACAGATCAAAAAATATGCCTTTTTCTATGGGAGTACAGTATTTATTAAAGACTTTTAGAAAGTTCTAAGATAATGAAAATATCTCCAATCTCTGGAGAATGTGGTTCCCTCAACTTCTTTCACCCTCTGTATGAATCAATAAATTATGCCTTTCATCATGACTTCTATTGACTGAATCGAACCTCAGTTCTATACTTTACTTTTTAACTGGAATTAATTCTTTTTCTCATTATGTATTATTTGAAAATATAAATTATAATTTATCTTTGAAAGATAAATCACACTTTAGCTCTTCTTCCCATTGTATAAATTTCATTAGTTTGCAAAACTCAGCTGAGCTTGTGCTGAGGGTAAGACAGGATACTTCCTCAGAATATAAATCCCCACTCTGACACAGTGCCCTTCAGAGGAAAATAACTTGGGTAAGAAGCATCAGTAAGTTTAACTATTCCCATCCTCTATCTACAAACTAGAGATGTAGTGGTTATTACTGAGAAAGAAATATTCTACAAAGAAATTTTGGATAGATCTTCTTGCAGATTGCATTATCTCACTGAACCACAAAGATCAATAACATAAAAACCCATGTAGCAAATGTATCCATCTCTGACTTTTTAAAGGTTGTTCTTCACAAATATACAGACAGGTGTGTAGAATGAAAAATTCTTCTCCTAAATCAGAATAGATTAATTGATTTCTGTATAATGAAGATACATATCTAACAAAACAAATAGGTTTTTTTTCTTCTAAGTTGTGATTCAAGTTGACAACAAATGCATTTCTACACCCCCATAGGCAGTATTGTTCATTTGACAACATATTGCTATTCCGTACTTCAGAAACAGAGAAGAAAATGTAAGAAGGCTTTATCTGGTTGGTGGCTGCTGAGAAACACAGAAGATGGCAGGTTTTTCTCCGAAACGTTAGTGTAAGATAGGCAGAAAGAGGATGATAAATGGAATGAGAACCATGCATTCCATACCCCTTATCAGACATCATGCAGTGTTCTAGTAGGCACCACTTTGAAGGAGGACAGTAGGGGTCAAACCTAATTATAAAGCAGTTTTCAATTCCAAAGTTTCTCAGTGAAAAAAGAATTAGCACATTATGCTTTGATGTAGAAAGTCACAGTTCCCCTAATAACAAAGGCTGCTTTATTACTGGTTTGCATATCCTTTTTAAAGGAATTAAATTACAAGTCACCTATAATTACATTCCTCTGTGCTTTACTCATCTCAAACCTACCATTTTCTTAATTTTTCCAGTTTAGCTACAGAATGGGGAGACAGTTTCTCACCAGCTGTCTAGAATGATATTGAACTATTTTTCACTCAATAACAAGATGAACTATCCAGCTGTCCCCAGCAGGCCCCATAATTGGGTGCAACAATCTAACATCAAAAAGGTGAACTGGTGTCTTCAAATTAAAAAAGACAGAAATATTATTTAATAAATCTAATCTAAATCTACAGCATTTGACTAAACAACATGGTATAAATATGAATTATCCTCAAAAAGAAAAAAAATAAAATTATTATAATTTCATTCTATGTTTTTTTCTCTATATTTCCATGTATTTAAAAAGGACACAGATTTCTCTATCTCTTTGAGAGTTTGTTCTTTTTCTAGTTATTACAGAGAAATCACCTAGTGGGCAAGCCAACAAGAACTGAGCCAAGAGGGAAAAGGTGTATTCCCAAATGGCTGGCCTTCCTCAGCTGGAAGGCACATACCCCCTTGCCCTGGTTGTTATAGCAATGCAGATAAATGGCCAAGAAATTGCACTGAGGTAACAAAGTAAGTAATAAAACTGCAGTTAAAGAGTTAATCACATCCGTCCAAACAGCACAAACTTCTTATTCCATTTTAAAGATGTTACTAATTCTAGTGTGTTTTCTATTTCTCCATAGCATTCAGGTGTCTCAAAAGAATATTCAAAGGGTATTTGAAAATTTCCCAATTTTCTTGTTTACAGTTTTATCTTCACATTAATGAAGTGTGTTGCTATGGAATGTTACAGACTGCTATCAGGTTCTATATTTTTTTTCCCTGCATGGGGAAATGACAAAGCTCTTGGATCTTGAACTGAAAGCTAAGGTATTTTCTTATGTCTCATCTGCAGACAAGCCTGGTCCTCCTCAGAATATAAAGCTTGTAGATGTCTGGGGATTTAATGCAGCCCTGGAGTGGACACCTCCCCAAGACGATGGCAATGCTCAGATCTTGGGCTACACAGTCCAGAAAGCTGACAAAAAAACAATGGTAAGAATTTGGCTGGGTCTGTGGCTTTGAAGGGAGTTAAACCAGCACCTGCTCTGGGAACATAGAGATTTGAGGGAAATAGCTGAGCTCATGACACTCATTTTGTGTCCAAGGTGTCCTGTGGCACCTCAGAGGCAATTAAACATTGAAAAATATAATCTAAAAAAACCCCAAAAGGTGAAAGATTAAATTAAATACTCAGTAGAAAATGGAAGAGAGATCAAGCCTGTGCAGTCTCTGGTGATGACTGCATAGACAGTTCTCCTTAGAAGGTGAAATTATACTTTTTATTTGCAATTATATTTTTCATAAATGCAGCAAAGGATTGAAGGGGAGGGAGTAAGAGTTAGACTTGAAGTGAGATGCTAGGCATACCAGGGTATGTACTGGGAGAGATATGTATACCTGTCAAACTGGAAAATACCTTTCACATGGAAGATCCCATTAAGCAGTTGCACTCTGAGTACGCACCTTGTACCAGATTCCCCAGATACAGGTATGGCTAAATTATGGTAGAGAGGTGAGGGAATTTTTTTCTCTAAATGGAAGCATTCAGAAGCCTATCACACCACCAGCACATAAAAATCAGAAAATATATCAGCTGATCTCCACAGGAAGCAACATAATATTAATTTCACAGGTTAGTGTTAAATACTTGTCTGGCTGTCTTTTCCTTGTAGCAAAAAAAAATCTCTCCCTAACAGCAGTAGCACCAGTCTGACCTCTCATAACATCTTTCTAAACAGTGCAGTCTTGTTACAGGAATGGTACACGGTTTTTGATCACTATCGTCGCACAAACTGTATCGTGTCAGACCTGATTATGGGAAATGAGTATTTTTTTCGAATCTTCAGTGAAAATTTGTGTGGATTGAGTGAAACTGCTGCAACCACCAAAAATCCTGCCCATATCCAAAAAACAGGTAACATAATCTTCAAACCAAAGATCACAAAAGCCACTAAGCACCAGAAGTAATACACTGGCAAATGGAAAATACAGTTTCACTAGCTGCACCCCTAAAGATATTTTTATTATTTAGTAACTAGCACTTATAAAGAACTTTAGCATCAAGAGCCTTTATCTAGGAGGATCTGTACTAATACAAATGTTAATTAAAAATATTTAATCACGCAGTCTTCCTAGACTATATTGTCTGAAGTAAATAATACAACAGGGGGATTATATTTATATTTTGGGGTTAAAAGTTGAAGATGTCTGCGGTGAAGACTTTCTCTGCACACATATGGCTGTCATATTTTTAACAGAAGCTGAAAACCAATGATTGCCAGGACCTTTTACCTTAACTAACACATTAAACATGAGATGTGTTTTATAACTAAATGGATTTAAAGACTTTTTATATCACAAATGCCAAAAGCTTTGAAGTTTCTTAAAACCATACAGACAAATTACGGTAGATTGATGATAGACGATGGTAGATTGTACACAAGTCAGCAGAACTGCCACGGTTCTTACTATTTTGTCTCTTTGAACTGCAGGCACCACTTATAAACCCCCTTGTTACAAAGAACACGACTTCTCTGAAGCTCCTAAATTCACCCACCCTTTGGTGAACCGCTCAGTGATTGCAGGATACAACACCACACTCAGCTGTGCTGTCAGAGGGATCCCCAAGGTACACGTCAGCACTGTCACTCAGACTTGTGGCACCAAGGCCAGAGCTCCTGCCAGTTCAGGGTGGCTGAGAGCGGCATGGCCGCAGAAAGGAGCAGCACCCGGTCATGTCCCGGGACTGCAGAGAGGGCGGCGAGCGCTCGGGTGGGTCTGTGCACAGCCGGGGGGCAACGCAGTGAAGGGGACAGAGGGAAGGGCACTCACTGCTGGTGGTGACACCACACCACTGGAAATGTACCACCTCTGCACAAAAGCTACTCACTGGAGAAGGGAAACAATGACGAAATGATCTGCTCACAATCTATACTTTGCTCTCTTCAGACTTTCAAGAAAACGGGAGCTGAATGTCATCTACTGTTCCACTAACCGAGTGACACAGAGGCACAGCAGGTTTTCTGTTACACCCATGCATCCACATAAGTTTTTGACAGTCTGAGCTATTTTGCAAAACTAACTAGAATAAGGCCTGGCCACAAGTGAAGTTTTTTGTGGGTTTTTGGGTTTTTTGTTGGTTTCGTTTTTTAATCTTGCAGGAATATTTTCTCATTCTAAATATATTTATTAAAGTCCCATCAAAGGGTACATAAAGATGTACTATTTTGTTAATCAGGAACAAGTAGTAAAAACTGTATCAGCTAGGAGCTAAATTTAGACTTCTCAGAAAAGGGAAATAAGATTTTTCTCTGCAGTGAAGGAATTTACCATATTATGACATAATCTTGTCCTAAATCCCTTCATGTCTGGCTGCTTATTTTCAGCTTCTTTCACTACCTCATACCTGTGAAGGGATCTGATAGCTACAGAGCAAAACCTGCAACAATCAGTCAGTCCAAATTGAAAAAAAAAAATCATTTGTTGCAGTCCATTGGACAAAGAAGGAGCTCCAGACAAAACTCAAAAGTCAAAAGGAAGCATATCCATGTAAATAGCTTCAAAAACCCAACAACATTACAGAATAAACACCAGCAAGTGTAGGCAAAATCCATCTTCCAGTAGCTGCCTCAGCTTAGAAATGACAGTGCTATTGACAATATTCCCTCTTGGTTAACTGACATTTTTGTGCATCTGCATCCACTTCATTCTGTTTCCATGGTTTTAAGAAGATTCTTTAAAAACCTTCTCAATTTTACAGCTGTTCTTGTGCAGTAATGGAAGGCCTTGGAATGCAGGCATGCTACCTCCTCCTTCACATTAGCCTGGAGGATTCAAGTAGTCCTCAACCCTCAGTACACCTAATGCTCTTAAAGCAGCTTTTCCAGATATGTTTTTGTACTTCCATTGCCCAAATTAACCTTGATAAAATGTTTCAGTACCTACAGCAGTACTCTGCAAAAGCTCTCATTACCTTATGTGGATGAAAAGTTCCCAGTTCTTTATAATTGTAGATTCTCAAGCACACCTCAGGATGATCTGTATGGCATGGAAAAGTTACCACTGCAAGCAGAGACGCTACTCATGCCCTGCCAGTAATGAAGTATAACAAGAGACATATACCCAGAAAGATAAAGAGGCTATAGAGAAACAAGAAAAATATGTTAAGGCAGGAAAAATTTCAGCAGAGATCTGTCAAGAAAATTAAGCAATTGGCAGCTGGGATGCACTGGATTAATACACCACAGGTCAAAGACAAAAGTGATTCAGTAGATTTGAATGCACTCTGTAAAAACAGTGGAGTAGTTCTGGGGTTTATGGATGAAGAAACAGAAGACATTAATTCTAAAAGAAAAACAGATAAATGTTAAGCTTGGTTTTCTATTCTTTAACTACTGTTTCTCCACTGTATGTATTAAGCTAGAAACAAACAAAAGCAGAATATGAGATTTTTCATTTTCAAAATTTAGTTTATAAAAATTAAAGGCACATTTTCAGGTAGTGGAAACAAAACATAAAAGTTTGAACTGGTATAGAAGCAACCACTTCATACCATAGTGGAAGCCAACAGGAACTTAATTTTTAAATTCCTGAAGTTTCTAAAGATATGCTAGAGAATTTGGAAAATCCTTTCCTGGGCTAAATTTTGGCATCCTAATTTGGCCACCAAGCATCTGTGGACTTTTATGACACTTCTGTTTTAATAATCTGTGACATTTAATTCCCCTTCTGTAAGATAATTGTAGCATTCAAATACATTTTAATAAGCACAGACAAATACTCCTATATGGATTAATTTGTAGACAATTAATAGGGGTTGGGGTTTTTTTCTTTAAATTGCAATAAAACAGGGCAAAAATCTACATTTTCTATATGATATTTTTGAGTTTAAAAAAATACTGAACTTTTGAACTATTGGTTTCATGAATATGCACTGAATGAGATGTTCCTTGAAAAATTATTATCAGTTCTTTGTAAATGGTCCTCATAGTACTATTTAGCCTTTGATGGCTACATTGAGGCTGTAAGATCAGGTGTAAATCTTCCATTCTCTACCTTCTATTTTAAAAAATCTTCTTTTTTGTTCTTCAGCCAAAGATATTCTGGTTCAAAAACAAAATGGATCTCTCTGGGGATGCCAAGTACCGCATGTTCAGTAAGCAGGGGGTGTTGACCCTGGAGATCAGAAAACCCACTCCCTTTGATGGAGGCATTTACACCTGCAAAGCTGTGAATGAGTGTGGTGAAGCTGAAATAGAGTGCAGGCTGGATGTCAGAGGTAATCAGATGAATCCTATGGATAACCCCAACAAGGCAATGAAGAGAGTAATGGGTAGTTAAAGGAAATTAAATCATAGTTTCCCTTTGTCTAACCCTGATTTTTTGGGTGGTATATAAAAAGTTTTTTAATTACATGCATCAGCAAGATTGTTTTTTCATTCTGAAGCATTATGATAAATTGGGTTACTTGCTAGGTAATACATGTCTGATAGTGTACAATTATTGCACTTCTGACTTCCTATTTCTAGAGCAGATACTTAGCAGTGGAAGGGAGGTCAATCTACAACCTCTGCATTGAGGATAACTTGATTAGACTTTGTGTTTATTCCATAACTGAAGGTTTTAAATCAAGTCATTGGCTATTAGACATACGTAAAAGGTAGTGCATGCTACATCACAAACATTTTTTGAACAGTAACAAATTATTTTGTTTGTCAAAAGGACCAGGAACAAAAGTTACATGTTTATAACAAAATAAAAAATATCAAATATTAAATAACTTTTTTAAAGCTGCTAGCAAAGTATCTATTTATCAATACAAATGTATGTAGCATTATTTTAAGTGCTCAACCCAGCAAAAGCTGCAAAAGTGACCTACATAATAGTAATTGATAGAAATCCATTTTCAGCACAGCAAGACTGAAGGTATTTCTACACAGCACCAAGTTGAATATTTGACTCAGTGCTAAATCAGGAATGTGCATACAGGACACCTTGCAGTGCTGGGTGCCAATACCCTCAGGGCTCACAGATTAATTTTTATCATCATCTGAAGCTTGCTTTAGGAACATTAAATCTTCTTAGAATCATCAGATAAAAGCAACTAGTAGAGAGTGTCCACATTTCACTTTCAGTACCATGTCTCAATTTCAAATTAGCATTCTTTAATGTCTGATAATATCTTGAACTTTTTTTCATTCTCCAGCACCCCAGTAAACTCTGAATCTCAGTTGATCTGCAAGTCAAGGTACGAATAAAATTAACTCAGCTGGATGAAGGAGCAATGGTTGTTTGGTCAGATCTATGAATAAACAATCATTAAAAATTCATGGTAGAGATTTTTAGAATGTTTATAATGTTGGTGGGGATATGTGTTTATTTTGATTTCTGTTTGTTTTTTCAATAGTCAGTATTTCATGGGTGTCCACTTTTAATACACTGTGCCAGTGTAAAAGTCTGTAAGAATAACAGAATACTTGGTTGTCATTTTTTCTTAATTCACTACAAGCACTCCCTCTAAGAGATTGTTATTAAAGTAGGGCTAACTAATATCAGTAACCTTGCTTCAACAAAGAAAGTATATTTAACATTTAAATGCATCTAGATGTGTAATGTACATTCTAGACTTTAAAAGAATGAAGTCGTGTAATAACAATCAGGTAATGTATTTGACAATAAATCCTTCTTCCCATTTTCTGTCTCAGTATTAGAGTGGAACTTGAAAAGAAGAAAAGTGAAGAGATTAATGAAACATGAATTCTGCTCATTTAGGAGTCCTGCTCATCTTAGAAGTCACGTAATACACATGTACAAGGAGGCAGCAGTGTTCTGTATTGTCCTGCTCACTCGGTGTGTTTTCAGACAATATTTCCTCTTTTCATATGTCTGTCATAGTTAGGTTGCCCTTGTCTCCACATGAAGAAATTGAAAGAAATCAAGATAAAATATTTCCTCCATTACATACATAAAATATATTTTTTACAAATAGTAAAATTATGTAAAACTGAAAAAACCCTACTTGTTTCCTAATGTCTGAAACAAGCATAAATCCCCCAATTCTACAGTTCACTCCATTTTCTCTTTGCAGAACTCTGACATTCTTCATAAGAAACAATATCTCAGAATAACGAAGCAGTAAGATATTATTTACAGTATATAATCATTATAATTGACTCTGTACAGCAGAATGTAACTTTCATTCCTACTGTTTTTACTGTCAGTGACTGCTTGAAATATCCACTGTTGTGCTCTCGAGCAGAACTGTGTCCAAACCACACCACTTGGGAACCACTGGCTATAGCTACTGTTCTCCTTATAGAAAATAATTCCTTTGATAATTACTCATTATTAATGAGTAATTTCTAGCTTTTAAAAAGACACCAGCAGGGAATTCCAGTTATTAGATGTTTTTTTCTACCAATCAGAGACACCACACGAATCTACAAGGATAATTTTGCACATCAGATGAAACAGTGAAAATTCTAGCAAGGGAGACTATTTGCACATAAATAAAAAATTTTAAAGTAGAAGCTTGGAATGAATGTAATAAACTCACTATCATAACTCTTCCTGAAGGTTTGTGAAAGGCTATGAGTGATATGTAGGCACTTTTGCAGATGATTTTGTCTAAGCAAATGACACAATAGCATTTCTAGCTTCTCACCTACAAGTTTGAGGAGTATTTGGGGTAGGATTTTTTCTGCACTAGTTGATAGTTTCTGGCTGGGAGGTAAATTTTAATGATCACAGTACAGGAGACAGCAGGAAGATGATATTAATCCAGGCAGCATTGACTTCTGGAAGAAGCTACACAAAGGAACTGAAGTAACACACCTACCCTGCCTCCAGCATGCCACTTGGGATGGCAAAGCCTATCTGACACAGCATGTTAGTTGTATTAACCAGATGTATTAATGCATCTTCATAATAAAAGCACTGATCATCATGAGATGTGTATTTTAATGATTTCATTATGGTATCAAAACAGAAAAGGATATCCTCTAAATCCAAAGCAAACTTATTCCAGGTTAACACTTGTCTGTTGCACATTGTTGTTATTCAACAAATAAATAAAATTTTAAAAGGAAAATATGCAGCCAGGTTTACATTGTTTTGTGCTTACACTTTCTGAGCAATGCTATTATTTTTTTTAAAAGGTACATACCACAAATAAAAGACAGAGATTATCCATATTCTAAAGAACCTGTGACCAGAATGCAGTGGACCAAGATGACCATCCCAGCATCTGTGGGACAAAGCATATTGCAAGGCAGTGACTGAATTGCAAGAGTTGGAGCCTAATTCCATAGGGCCTTCTAAGAATGCTGCACTTGAAAAACACAAATTAGTTTTGATTTCCAAAGCTTCCAATGACAATTAATCAAATGCAAATCCAAATCATTATCAAAAGAGAAGCGCTAACTCTAGCTGGGTTTTTAGAAAGTCTTCATAAAAATGAGAATTCTGAGTTCAAACACCAACCACTCCTCACACTGAAAAGAGGAAAAGGGGCAAGGTGCACCTGCAAAGTCTCAACTTCCTGTAATTATTTCAAGAAAGGTCTTCAGAAAATTGTAGGTGTTTATTGATGTTTTGCCAGCATATACTATTGTCATTTATCTGTTCAGTGGCTGACACAGATCCTCAAAGTAGAGTCACTAATTGCCCATTAATTCCATGCTGACAATAAATAAATGATTAAGTAAATAACCTTCATCCCAATCTGATTAAAATTATATACACTGAGAAACTTCTCCCAAACCTACCTCGTTAAGAACAACAAAGAACCTCCCAATTTTTCACTCCTCACACCTGAAAGACTACTTGATGAAAGACACTTTACACAATCATTTCCTGGGTGAGATCTACTCTGATGTAAAATCAGCCTTATCTCTAAATTTCATGGCAAATATTCTTACCTTGTAGTTGTTTAGTACTGTTAGAAGTGTGCAAGGTTTGTTCAATAGTAAAAGAAAGAATTAATATAGGTCATAAAATCTAAAATTTCCTACCTAGCAGCATTCTCTTTTAGCACACTAAATGCCTTTTACTTTCAAAACCAGCAGTCCTACTGAAGTCCTTCCAGTAGTTTCTCCATCAAAACAAAAAAAAATCCATTATTGCTTCAGTGAAAAGCCCCTTCCATATGAAAAATATATGTAATTTCAGCAAACATAACCTCTTTAGGCTGATTATTTCTATCCAGTTGGATGTGAAAGTGACTGTAAGTTTTGATGCTTCCACAATTTCCATTTAAATCCTATCAATTGAGGCTGCTGGCTGGCTGTTCAGTGCTCACATGTCTTTCCTCCTGATGGAAAGACTTGGATGCTTTGGATTAACATATGTAAGATTCATTTGAAGCACAGGGGTGCTGCAGAGCATTACCAAAGCCCAGTGCTTCACTTCAGGTAAGAAACATCAACTCTAAAATATTATGACAAGAAAAAGCACTTACAGTACTCTCACCAGCCCAGCTCTCTCAGGGTGGCATTACCCGCCAAACAAACCCTCTGGTGACACTTTAGCCTAGGACAACACACACTCCACACCACAGCATCAATTCTTTTGTTTCAGCACTGTTGTGTAAATACTCTAAGTAAACAATATTTATTAAACAATATTTACTTACTCCTAGCAATGAGAAGCTTCATGAAATACTCTTCATAAAAGCCACCAACTGGAATTAAACTGTCAAATGCAAACAAACCTTATCTGAACACCTTGTTTCCTTGAGATTGCCTTAGTCCTCAAATCCTGACCATTATTCTGTGAGCAAATAATAACAGCAAAAGGAGTTAATGATTTACCATTGCTTCTTAAAATAACAAAGAAAAGGGCCAAAGAGCTCTCTCGTGCTGCAGCACCAGCTCTCCCCTTCAGTGCCAGGAGCTCCCCCACCCACCTGTCAGCTCTTGCTCTGAGAGATTATTGCTCAGGGCTGCAAACCCTGAAGAAAATCTCTTCAAATTGTGGTGTGAACATAGCAGATTAAGGTAAAGCTGCTGGGTTTCCTTCTTTTCCTCTTCAGCAGGCTTGTACAGAAGCTGCCAAAGGCTGTGCGGGAGTTAATGGATGGCCCCCCATAGGGATTAATTCTTTTTTCCTATTAAAAAATAACAAGTGGATCAGTTGAAGCTAAAGAAGGAAATTACACTTATATCCACACAGCAGTAATGACAGTGACTGTTTGGCAGAGCTTCTCAGGTTGCAGCCTGTTCTGTATTCTGCCATCATAGACCCACAACTATTACTTTAAAACTAGCAGGCTTATCTGTGGTGACAGCTGCAGAATAAAAGTGTTGTTTCTTTCCTCAGCCTTAGTTTTCTGACTGGTTAATAAAAATCTCAGGAGTATTTCATCCCCAAGCCACTGTAAATCCAAGTATATGCTCTAATACTAAAGCTATTCCTGCAGAAAGGATGTCAACTCCTAATATATATTTTATAACACCCACAAAGCAGGTGAATACCTGTGTGTCCAAAGAAGGGTAACCTGTGTAATAAGAAGCTATGTTTCCATCAGTGTATGTTGTCACCAGTGTTTCCATTACCTCAGTGATCTAGATGACCTTCAAAGGTCCCTTTCAATCCAAACTGTTCTATTATTCTATAATTCTTAAGCAGCTTTGCTGCATAAGCTACAACACTTATGTGATATAGTGGGGTAAAATGCAAATTAAATTGATTGAGTTCAAATTGTCTCAACAAAATGTTTATGAGAAGTGCCTCACCTGTCTTGAGATTATCTTCCTCTTCCTCTCTGTAAGAACGGAACAGTTATCTTTACCAACTTCTTCAGTTTTTTCTAGGCTTACTATATCAAACTATATTAAAAATCAGTTCTACTTGTTGAAAACTACAGTGAGAGATCAAGACATTTCTATATATTATTTTAACAAATTTTTCAGTGCAGGACATGCCAGACATGTAAAGATAGCCTCAGTACATCTCACCTCCAGGTTTCATTCCTTATAAGAAAGGATTATTGTTCTAGCTATTTCAAGAGATATCTACAATTGAGTAGAATTAATCAAAACACAAGAAAATATTATTTGGTAGAACTTTTTCCTTAATTGAATCATACAATGTCCATTCAAAGGACAGTAGCAAGAGAAAATAACTTTTCTGGAAGTCATAAAAATTATTTATGTTGCTTTGATCACAGAATTCTTTTGAAACAAAATCCTTGCATGTATTTAGGAGAAAAGTTTGTCACTAACATGTCGTCTCGGAGCAGGTTTAGAACTACAAGCTGTTCCTGTCTTCTTACAAATGGATTTTATAAGAACATTCTGCTGAGATTAAAAATAGCCCCACTGATACCTTTCAAGTGCTTACCAAGAAGAGAACACTATTTTAGGGAAACAAAAGCTGTCATAGAGATATCCTTTACTTGTCATTGGGCAGGGTCCCCACAGCAGTCTGCATAAGCAACACATCCTAAACAGCATGAACTGGTGAAAGTTTAAAAGAAACAGATAAGAACAGCCTCACTTATTAGATCCAGATATGGAAAAAATAGTGAAGCATCTGCTCTCTATGCCAGACAGAAACATTGACAATAACCAGCCCTGAAAGCATAGATAAGTGTCATACCTATGAACACATTTCAGTCAATAATTGTGTATTGAGACAGCTGTACCAAAGACAAATAATCTAAAAAAGTGGCTAATCTAAAATATATAAAATATCAGTGGATATTCAAATGTAAAACAAAAGTAAGTGTTAAGTGTGTTCCCTTTTTCTTCTTATCCATAGATAATAGTCTGGACATGATTTTGTGTTCTATACAATGTATGTAGCAAATAGAAACCATATACATAGTTTCCATTGTTTTGCTTGAAAGTATAAATTGTAGCACCCAAATACATGAACCGAAATTGTGGATGGATACACTTTAATCTTCAATAAGGTTGCATTTCCTTGGTACCTATCATAATACTAACAATTGCCCCAGAAATCCAGATGTATTCCAGGAAATTATGATCACAAAAAGACTATCAATATAACTCTCACATACACTTTTGTTATTTACTTACAGTTTCATATACCCAGGGAAAAAATGGCCAAAAAAATCCAAGCTTCTCTTCTTCTTTGTAGGTGAGCTCATTGTATGTGATGCCTGAAAAGAAAACCCCAAGTGTAGTAGATTTTGATCATAGGAAAGTCCTCAAAAATTTCTACCTGAAAACAGGACTTGTTCTTTCTCACTGGTATAAGGGGGGATTACTGGACTGTGTATTTACAGACCATAGTATTTGCTTTTATGATTTTTGTTTTCTATAGTACTGAAAAACATTAACAATTTATTAAAATTTTTAGGCTACAAATCTGGTTTACACAAATGTGTTTATTTTTAATATCAGATTAAATAGTTAAGCCATTTCTAACAAGCAGTGTAGGGAAGAGCTGCTACTGGAAGCTATCCCAGAACAGCAGCACTAAGACTGGAAACCTTTTCCCTTCCCTCTATAGCACTCTTCAGCACTCCACCAAAAATAACTTGATTTAAATGCAAGAGGAGTAAGCATGGAATAAGGCTGAGAATGAAAGAAGATGACAGAGCACTTGGTAAGAACAGGAGAGAGGGATGAGAGACTATGACAGGATGCTGGAAAGGAGCAGGGACTGGTTGAGCAGGTGACTGGGGAGAGTGTTAAGTCTGAAGTGCCTGGGCAAAGAGGCTGGAAGGTGATGATGGCCACAGAGGCAAGAAGAATGTATGAAAAAGCTACAAAGGGAAACAGATAGAAATGATCTGATGGGAAATTGAAGTGCAGAGTTGAGCCTGACTGGCTGAACAGAGTGTAGGCCAAGGATGTGTGAGGAAACAGCAAGGAATCCAAGCAGGGCAACGTGTAAAAAGAGAAGAAGGAGATTTCTTTGATACCTAGAGCACTATGGATAGACTTGTACTCACTGGACTTAGCATGAGAAACTGAAAAGGAAAAAATGAGAGCAAAGAATGAGAATACAGAACCAGAGTTTTCACATACTTGAAGGAAGCAACTATTTAGAGTTTTACTGGTGTTTTTCCTGACACCGTTTGTTCCTTTTTATATAAAGCTATTTTGGGAGATGGGGATTTCTATT